CAGGGTATATTCTAACGTGCAGTTGGACACAATCTGTGCAGTTGGAAATGAAAATGTGCAGTTGGAAGACAAAAAAATGTGCAGTAGAAAATTTTGTATTTAATAAAAAAAAATGAAGAAAATATTATTAAAAAATTTGAATGTAACTCATAAAATGGAATGGAACACTTATTAATAAAATGTGAGATGCTGACAAGTCAGAATATCTTTTTTGTTTTTGTCTTCTGAGCGTCATTTTGTTCTGACGAATCACGCTTATTTGCAGCTTCTTTGAAAATTCCTTTGAAGTACCCTTGTTCTTTGGCTTTCGTAGTAGCTTTTACTCTATGCTGTTTTTTTTTCAACCAGTATAGAACAGCTGGCCTAGGATCCCAGTTGGCGAGTTCGGGCATATTGTAGTGGATATACAAGAACAAAAGACTGCTGTTAGCCGTTTGCGCGCCTGCGGAAAGATATAAACACGATTTCCGGACCGGGCTCGACCCATATGCAACATACAAAATGAATAATTTTCCTATAGATGACGTAATCATCGTAGGCAAGCGCCAAGTGGCTTTTAGGATAGGATAGGAAATGTATCGCTTGAAAAATTCATTTGGAGCAAAGATGCAACGCAATCCCACTTGTTGATCTATGTATTTGTACTTTGGTACAGTTTGGATTTTAATTAGTAATGAAATGAACGGATTTCTTGTATGTTGCACTCGCCAAACACAACCAAAAAAATCTATATTAACCCTATGACATTGGCTCGATCATCGAGTATACACAAAAACAGGCAAAGAAAACTGAATTGCAGTCATCCTTTGGAAATTGATTTCCTGCACAACCGCAAGACCAAAATATTGCACATGGGAAATGGAAAATTAGCTCACGCCGTAGTGTAAACTCACCTTTGCTAACAGCGGCCAATCCCGGCGGGCGAGCAAAATAAGTGCTTCATGGGCCATTAATAAAATTCGAAAAAAGGCCAATGTACTAATAGGTAATCAGCAAGGTTCCTTCAGCATGCGGATAATGAAGCCACCATGAGTTTTTAAGTCTAAAAAAACAAATTTTCCGCGTACAACAAAAAGGGCAATAGTTTTATTGTTAACACTGTCTTATGGATTTAAGAGAGTTTTTTCTTTCGGAAATTTATTGAATATTAAAGTGAAAGAAGTGGTTGTGATTCCGTGTGAACAAGAGTTACCTATTTGTGTTTTACATAAGGCTTTATAGGTCACACGGTTATCGTTTCCAATGTCTCCGATGGTTGGAAGGATTGCGAAATCTGTGAATTTTTTTTTCAGTTTTGGTGTCTCGGCCAACCCGTTGCAACTGGCAGCATAGGTACTCATCCTGTTTCGGCACTTCGTCAAATTTAATAAGTTCGTGTGCGCCGAAAATGGCCACCCATAAGCCTAAAATTTCTTAGAATTACTACAATTCCCTCCCCGCACCTGCTCATGGATGGAAGTTTCTGTATGGATCTACTATCAAATTCCACATGAGTCTTTTTTTCATCGATTTGAACATGGCAACTATTAAAAAAACTCGCTGAAAATTTAGAAAACTTCGTCTCGCTGAAAGAAAAAGAAAGACTTTTGTTAAGCGAAAGGGGAATTAAGAACAACCAACTTCACAATATTAATTCCTTTTCGAACCTGAATCTACAGTGTTTTTAATGCATTTTAGGCATTATTTCATCGATCCTTGCACAACATTTTAGCGCTGTAAGAAATTTTCGTTTCCTGGAGGAAGCGACAATGTTCATATGAACTGTTTGACCGTGTGTGTTGTCAAAAACGATATTTTGCAACTAAACTAACTGCTACTGATGTAAAATGGATGGCGGAGAACTGTAACATCTTTTAGTCTCCTTCTGCTTAGGCTATCATTTCCACTAACTGTCTACACTCTGCAGACAGCGAAATCTAAACCTACTTGCGTCTTGCATCAATACTTATGGTACCTACTCTGAAAGCCATGTAAAAATCTTGAAATAGATCAAAGGCTGAGCGAATCAAAAAGTCCACTTGGACGAATTTATAGAGAGTGAATAGGTTAGTAAAGACTATACTTCTTTCGCGGTTTACCATTTGTACATCGATTCTGTTCTGATTTTAGGTAATGATATCAGTGTAAAGGCATTGGCACGTTAGTCTTCTTTAACTACCAAAAGCAAGATGTCAGACTACAAAACTTCATAATATACTTATGTTGTTAGATAGAATTATACAGGGTCCTGCAACAGTGCGTCGGTCTTTCCTAGTTCATACCTCGTAAAAAATATAAAAAAACTGTGTATGCAAATGTAGACTATAGATCGCGCATCTATAGAAATTATTTTTAATTGTAAAGGGTATCCCATTTTTACGGAGAAAGTTAGATTTAGTTCACAAGGAAATGGTAAAGTTTCCGAATTTCAAAATGCCATAACTATTCTTTTTTTTAAATGAAACTAACACATTTTATTTCGCTATTCGATAGTCTGTTGTGTTCTCTTTAATTTCAATAAGGGATTCTTTCTTTCTTCTAATTATATTGTAAATTTTATTTTTCTTCCTTCCCGTTGCTGATTTTGGTGCAAGTGGAAGACCAGGAGCGGCACTTGTGTCTGTCCCTGAACTTGCACCTTTTGTCATCAAAAATGGTATTATTTGCAAGTTGCTCTATTGACAGTAAAGACACTTATTATTATTATTATTATTATTAGGGGTTTAGACACTGGACATCCCTTATAAAAATTGAAGAGAACACAACAGACTATCGAATAGCGAAATAAAATGGTGGTAGTACTATTAAAAAAAATAAGTTTTGGAAACTTCCTAACAAGCTCGCTACGATTTATCAAAGTGAAGTTTGCTTATGGCAACATTGACAAAACATGAATAGCTTTTAACTTAAATGTTAACAAATGACATCGAAACAAGCAAAAATAAAAATATATACCTATACAAGGTAATTATTAACACCATAAAAATAAGATACCCTAATAATTTCTATAGATGCGTAACCATCTATAGTTGACATTTGGACACACGATTTTTTATATGTTTTACGAGGTATGAGCTAGGAAGGACCGACGGACTGTTGCAGGAACCCTGTACTACCGAAATACTCCAGTTTTTATTTTCCGATTTATACCCCAAGATACAACACAAGAAAGCAGGAGAAGGTAAAAAGTAAAAAAGTAGGACAACAATTTATTAGTTATTGTTAGTATTTATACAAAGTTATTAAATATTTACAAAACTTTTTGTCACTACTTAAATATATAATACTAACATCACTAACAAATTAAGTGAGAGACGGTACAAAGAATAATTCCTAAAACTAGATGCGTTTACTTACTTTGAAATTGGTACAAAATATTGTAGAATGTTCTAGGTATGCTTATAAGATCACTGGCTATGCTAGTAGTTCGAAATGTTTAGGGTATCTGTTTATTAGGTTTTACTATCTGGACATTATTTGGTCGCCAATTTGCAGCAGTGTTATTCTCCCCTAAATAGTTCATTTAAGATCAGTTTTGTCAAGTTAAGTAGTGAAAATTCCCATCACCCCGTTTCCGTTAATATTTTTTGGTTATTAGTACAGAAGAGTGAAATGTTAATACAGTCAGTAGTGTCAATTTGCTAGATAAATAAGCGTACCAAGAAAACACCATTACTATAAGTAATAAAGATTTAGCAGTGCAAATGCTCCTTATACGCAATCAACCTCAACCTCTACTAAACCGTCACAGCTCATTCAGTGTACATAGAGAAACCTCGAGAAGTATACTTTATTCTAAGAGGAGCGTTCCTACCTGATGGAGGTTTCGAATTAGTACTTTCTGGTTCTGGTGGTACTGGCCCATCGTTCTGCAAGGGATTCATCATTTTCCCTGCAAACAAAATTGAACCAGTTTCTTGATGCTCGATGAAAAATAGGAACGGGTGAGTTGCATTAAACGAAATGTCCGATTCTCCAAATTTGTTTCCCAGTTGAATTTCTGAAACGAAATGTAAGATTTGCCCTTTCTAAGTGGTCACTACCCGTAGCGGCAAATGCAGAACTGCCTTCCTCGTTAAACTCAATGCCCGATTTCTGTTTTAGATCGTTGACGAATAACCACTTGCCACCCGAGCCGATACCTCTCGCAATTCCAGGAAAGCTTGCGGTATTGGAAAACATGGCGGTTAGTCCAAACTGCGAAAGTAATTCTTAGATGGAACAAATGCTAATTTCAATCACTTACGTCTTGCAAAATTTTGGAGTAGCTCGCGCTGAAATCGAATTTAAATTTCGGAATAACAACGTCCACTTTTCGCTCGTCCATTAAGTACAGTTGTCTTTTTAGAGTCTGTAAGTTGACGCTTTTTAGTAACTCAGAAAGTCCGCCTTTGGTGTTGGGCAAGACGATGAAAAATCCAAAATTGGCCCCCTAAAAACAAGCCGGAATAGTGCACAACTTAATTTGAAATTGTCTTACCTTATAAGGCAATCTTAAGAGTTTTGCGTCAAGTTCTTTTGATTCTCCATAGTAGTATGTGTCCGTGTTAGCCATATAATCGACGGTAATCACCTCCTTTGGAGAAACATAAAATCCTCCTTGATAAGATTTCTCCACCGGGAACTTACGCCTCCACTTTCCTTTGAAGAAAACGGCATTTGCCACTAATAACAAGGTATCGTCTTGGATTTCATCTAAAAAAACAATAAGAGACCGCTAATTATCGAAGTTGAGCTTTCACCTGCGTTAATCAACTTCTTAATGTTACCGTGAGTCAAACCATCGACCCAGGAGTTTATTAAATTCTCGGCTGCTACGTGATCTGTGAAATTTGTACTTTTTATCTCGGTATTATATGAACTTTTAACGTTGGCCGCGTATTGTTGAAGAGGCGTAATAGTCGAATCCAAAAATATTCTAGTGCCGATATTGATTATGTAATCTTTCTTATTTTTCTAAAACTGCTATATTGCAGGAACTGGAAAATCGATTGTGCAATATACGCACCTCCAAGTTGGCTAGCAGATTCCTATATTTCGCGTTCACTTCAGATTTCTGGTCCGAATACTGCATTACTGACTGAAATTGTTTTTTTGTAGAACCTTCCGATCCTTCATACAAGACGACCAAAGCTAACTTAATACTTAATGGTGAAATTAATATGTTGTTGGAATGTTCATTTGCGATCGCCTGAAATTAAAACAATCATCACTGAATCATGCGCACTCTCACTATAAAAAATTATCTCCAGATAATTGTTCTACGATGAAGTAGAGCAGTACGTAAACTACTTTCTATGTTGACTTTTTGAATCAATCAATTTTTTCGCGTATGTATAAATTGTGACCATTGTTACTCCAAAGGTTTTTTTTGTTTCCAGTGACTGCTTCTCTGTAGAAGTTGGACTTGGTTGCAAAAACCAGACATCAGAACGCAAGCCACGGATAAATAATACTTAATAGACTAGATAGAATGCCTTGACTTAAATACCTAACTATTATTTAATTATCATACATTAAAATTATGAATCATTAGATCAAACCAAAAATGTACCTACAAGATGCGCGGTGGTTATTAGCAGTGTTCCGATGTGCTTCGACTAAGATTAAACTAATAACACCCTTGCAGACTACTTCATAAGCAAGTACTGGTTAATTAAGATGCCAAGGTCGACGGTTACATAACTGTGACCTGCACGGTACTTCTATCCTCATTTTTTTCGTACCGTCGTCTGTCTGTTGTCTATTGGAGAACGAATAAATTTATACTGCATCATCAAATTACCCGTAAAGGCCTTAGGAACACATTTTATAGTAGATGGTACCTTGAAGAAATACCATAATGCCCATGTTACATTAAGTAATATGATTTGTTTTCCTAGACTCATTAAAAAGTATCAAAAAAGGTATTGCACACCCAGAAAAAGACGTTCCAAGGAGCAATGTTACGTCCAAATCTGACCGTAATCGCTATAGTTAGCTGAAAACTACAAAATTAATAATTTCCCATCAAACAATCGACTAACATTTCCAAAGAGGTCATGGGTAATTTTTTAATTAGTTGCAATGAACTACGCTTTTCATTAAAAATTAAAAACAATTAACGTAATAATCATGACCAGAAAGCAGTTTAATTTAATGGAATTTAATGGAACGCCAATAATTTTATTTAGGTGATGCTGATACCTTCGCTGTCGGTAGCTTCATTGCCCGCTTTGTTGAGACACTATATTGTTTATATCATATGTTTAATAATACAGTAAAAGTGACTCTAATATCAGAGAGCAGTGCTGTGGAGGTCCCAAATTTAACGCGATCAAGGAAACCTTCACATGAACGCTTCTCGTTACTGCATGTAACAGTCCCCTTAACCCTTTGTTATACCTATTCCTATTTATTTGATATAGCATCATCAGTAGAAAGGAATTTGTTAGATCCCAGTTGCCTTCGTACCCGGAGTAGCGATGAAACTATATCGGACAAATAGGACGTTCACCAGGCAAAATTAAAAATGAACAGTGACGACGGATTTGGACCACGGTCATCCATACACTGAACACATAGGAAAAGTGAAAGTTCGGGATCAGAGATATCCCTCGATATTCCTTCCACTGACGACAGCCGATCAAGTCTGTGTGCAACCCTTCGATTGGATATGAAATTGACTTGATTGAGTGTCTATAGTTATCGGATCTGGACAGGTACACAGACTATCAGATCTAGAGACACCTTTAAAACAGAATTTAACATTTCAACGAGGATGTCTAAAACTCCAATGGAAGAAAAGGTAGATGACAGACAAGAGGGAGTGAATACAATTGTAAACCAGCCCCGAATGTACCTCAGATGATAGTGCTCCTAATCAAGCTCTAGAGGGAGAAGGATCGACAAGTCCAAGTGTTGTTTTTCAGCCGGCTCCTGATGAACATCCTATACTTATTGAAACCTTCTTGAAATGGATTTTAAGGAGCGTGAGGCTGATTGACTGAAGACAGCCGACAAAAATAAGATACTCATTACACTATAGGCGATGGTCTTATAGTAGCAAGTGATGAGAAACTGACAAATGAGTTTTTATCTGATCTGATACAGAAAATTACTGAAAATCCAGCATCGTTCTACTTAGCGTTTAGAGATAGTGCTTCGCATGATGGACTGTAATCCAGTGGCAACACCTGTACATAAGAAAATACTTATCAAATCAGGGAAAGTGGGTGATTAGGAATGAAATAATTTTCCATATAGAGAAGCGGTAGGTGCTGTAGCTTATCTCATGGTCGGAACAGGTCCCGGCATAGTATATGCTGTGGAGCTAGTATCTATAAAACCGCAGAACTCAACTAAAAGTGAGTGGCCGAATGAAGATATCTAAAAACTAGAAGGCACCTACAAGATGAAAATGCAATACTTCTGAGAATTTCTCTAAGGTCTTGATTCTTCTTACATATAATAATAATAATAATAATAATAATAATAATAATAATACTTTATTATCCTGGCGGAGACCAGCTGTAAGCTGTTTTTCCCAACCAGCAGAATTACAATTTACAATTACAAAATAGTGATTGAAAATAACATAAACTAAAAAAGGTATACTATTTCAATAACTTGAGTTGTACGAGACTACATGAAAAGAAAATAAATGAAATCTTAGACGAAGACAGATTGACAAAAATGACAAAGTTTCTCCACGTGTGTACATAATATCTAAAAGAAGTATATAGAAGGTAACATATTGAAAGATTAGGTAACAGAAACTTGCTATACTTAAAGGTCTAATTATTATTCATTGTAAATCATAATTTTTACTTTGCGCTTAAATTGATAGCTATTCAATGATTTGTATTCATCAGGCAGCTTATTGTACAAAAATGCTGACATGTATGTAAACGAAGATTTGTAGCTTTGCAATCGATGTGCAGGTATTTGAATATCGTTTGTATTTCTAAGTTGACGATCATGTAAATCTCTCCGAAAACGTATTGTGGACTGTAAGTATGGGGGCACGCCAGATTTTATAATTTTGTGAATTAAACACAAATAGTGTATAGTCCTCCTATCGTTCATTCGGTAAAGATTCAATTGCTTGAGATGAGGTGTGATATGTTCTTGCCTATTTACGTTACATACATAACGTACGCATGCGTTTTGAACTTTTTGGATTCTGTACGAGTCTGAATTTTTTAAGCAAGGACCATACACAACATCACAATAATCAAATAGGGACAACACAAGGAAATTAACAAGTTTACGTTTGACAGAAAGTGAAAGAATATTTTTATATTTATAAAGACACCGAAGCCGACCATACGCGGATTGTATCAACTTACTTACATGCGGGGTGAAGGTAAGATTTTCGTCCAATATCAGACCCAAGTTTTTGTGAACGGTTTTAAAGTTTATTACGTTGCTATCAATATTTACATCGGTTAGTGAAGAATTAATTCCCCCAAGCAAATGTTATATAGCGGAGATTTTAAGTGTATACCAGAAGATCCCCTTTACCCTTTACATGCCTCCACGTATAAACTCCCGACGATTGCCCTAAAATACATACATCCTCAATTTGTGTTATACATTGTTTTGGCCCAAATTTGTCGAAAGAAATCGTTCGAGACACATTCACATTTTTTGAGAAAGAGAGCCTCCTAAAATTTTTGACGACTATTATTCATTGGCACTTTTTCGTAACACGTTAGTTCGTTTGAAAATGATCTCGGATTAAACAATTACATTTGAATTAACTGCAATAATAAGATTGCGACATACTTGCTCTATCTAATCTTCGCTTTTAGTAAGTGATAACTCCCTTAAAAGGAAGTATTTTTACCACTGTACGGAAATAGACAGTGGTTCATTAAAGCATTCTGTTTTTGTTTATTTTATAAGTTGCTCCTATCTCAGATAGCAGAAGATTAAACAAATGGGTTCACTATGACATTACCCTCCCTCTGTAAGTGTTACTTATGTAATGCATCGATGCAATCGTAAGAATACCTCAATCATCGTCTGAATGAAGATCTGAATACTGGTGAAGAACTCCGAATCTAAAGATTTATTTCTATGACTTGCTGATTTTAGCAATCAGGTTCTACCTCAAATGTGTATAGATACACCAAGGTCATCTGAATTATAATATGACCCTAGACGAATGCTTGTTTAAAATTAGAAAATCGCAAAATTTTCACGACGGTATCCAAGACGAAAAAAGTGTTGCCTTAAGAGTCGCGGCACGTTTTATATATTTCTACATTTACAGGATTTTAAAATTTCGAGTACCATTAAAATTCTTAAAGTAACACGAAATCGTACAAACAAGTTCTGCAACCTTGACAAAAAAACAAAAATGTATGACGATGTATATGTACCTACAATTTAGTACGAACTCCTCCGGTAAGACTGGAATTTATGAGATCGTTTACAAAAATGAATACATCATGGGTGAATAACGCACGAACCAAAACCAAGCAGGTGGTTATTCATGGTCTAGGTAACTTGGAAAGTATCCTTGTTCTGATATATATTTTAGAAGGCTAACGGAACCTTGATGCGAAGTACCTAATACACTTATGGGTACTATACTTCTGCTCAACAATCAAAGTGTTAGCACATGAACATTGTTCAGCAAACAAAGTGACATAAGTGATTTGCGATAACAATATTTAATAAATTCCACAACACGTTTCTGGTTTCTGGTGTTCTTATGGCTTCCAAGTAAAATAATTTGCAGAATCACCACAATGAAGAAATTAGCAAAATTATTCCTCGTTTTTAATTATTCTCCTCTGTAACATTGTAAACCATTAAAAATTGTATGTGTAGTCACGGAAATATGACGAACCGTGTCTAAGTCGTGCAAAAAGTACCCATGTAACAATCAATTCTTATACAAAAACATAAATTAATATTATCCATGCCTATTTTTAGCTCGGGGAATCCGTCAACCCTTCATTACTCTTCTTCAAAATCAGTTGTTTTTATTAATCTTAATAATCGGATTTGGCACTTTTTTTAAAAGAAAACTATTAACTTTTTGACTACATAGTCGTTCATATGGAAGACTAACACTCGGAATTCGTAAAAGTCTCACCATTACTGCAACAAAACAGAATTATGCCAAACGTCATGGTGATCCGGTGATTTTCGTATAGGGGAAACACAATGACTTCATGGAAATGACTCAATGTGAAGGATCCATCATCATAACTCCTGATAAAGATAACTTGCAACTTGTTCCTTTATAAAGATACTTCATTTCCAGCCAGAGTGATGTTTGTTTTAGTTGCTTTACTTGCTAAAACCCGCCAAGTTTCTACTTTATAAGGACCATTCGATCCTGATTCTGCTGCTAGGTCCTTCCATATCCAATCATCACAGGATACAACCTGATTTGCTCTGATTTTAATGACGTTATTTGCTGCATCTGGTGGTCAAGTGGAAAGTGGGTAATTCCGAGTGTTACTATTTGTGTATTGAAAATAGAAAGAATAAACAAATGAATGTTGTCAAAAGTATTTTTCAAAATAATCGCCTTTAAGATCTATATACTTTTGCATGGCCTTAAACCACCCTTAAAAGCACTTTGTCCATTCATAAAACGGTAGCTCTTAAAACATGCATTTTAAAGGCCTCAGGCGCGTCTTCGAGCAATGAAAATCGTATCTCGAATTTGTGATTGCTTACTTTTGAAATTAGTGTCATGTGAGAAATATGAGTTAGGGTTCTGTCGTCCGCTTCTTCATAATCAGGTTCCAACGTACCTTCTTCTGCAACTAACCAACTATACCATTCTGTATAGTGGCTGACTGCACCACCAAGACAAGTAGAAACCGGTGCAGTGACAGAACCTTTTTTCAGGAATACACAATAGTTATTTACATAAAAGGCAGGAAAATGATACATTACTGGCGAGGAAATATTGAAGGACGAGCGTCGAGTACTTTAATTTTCGACTCAAGTTTTGTATTCAATTTTACCCGAAATCGTAATAAAATTTCAATGTTTATTATGTTTTTTTTTTGTATAAAATTCTATATAATAGTTATTCACATAAAAGTCAAGAAAATGACACATTACTGGCGAGGATGGGGCCGAGTACTTTAATTTCCGGGTCATATTTTACTGACGAGATTTGTATTAAATTTTACCAGAAATCGTAATATAAAATTTCAATTTTTATATAGAACTTTTGATTAATGTCAATCTGTCAGTGATGACAGGAGTCATTATAGACATTTAGCAATGTCACAGGTGCGGCCAGTAAAGTGTCAGGTGCTGCCAGTAAGTTAGAGGACATACAAATGCACATTGTGACATGGGCTATTAAACGGTGTATATAAAAATGTGCCATATTTTCTAATTAGATTTGATTTTAAGTCTAGATCCGTTCTAAAAGGGAGGTGTCGGCAACATTGAATTTGTAGATTTGAATTTATAGGGATAATCTTGGGGATAATATTAAATAGTAAAACTTGTAAAGGGTAATGTGAGTTGGAAATCTTGCACTATTTGATTTTTAGAGCATTTTGCTATTATATTCGCTATGGCTGGCTGTCTGACTGACCGGCTGAGATCTAACCAAGCGACAGACTGTACACAGCACTCAGTACGGACGTTTGATAAATTTTGCTCTTGATTTTAATAATGGAGTCGCTCATATATAAAACTTTTAGAACAATTCCAGGTATGTTAATTTAGAGAACACTCCAAACGTTATTAACGTAAACACCTATGCCTTAAAGTCCGGCACGAACACAAACCTCGGCCACCTGAAAATATCATCAGATCTATGGCAAAATGATTAACCAGAAAATATTGCGGATGTCTTGGAAATGTATGAGTAGGTACTTTTATGGGGAAGAAGTTGGATAGAATTAAAATACTCCTTGGATTTTCGAAACACGTCATTACCTATATGTTAAAAGTAATTTGATAATGGTAATAATACATATTATTATGTTTAAGATCTACTTAGATCTTTATAATAATTACATTCCGCGAAATGAGCGTGATGTTGGCACTAACCACACAGTTTTCTTATACCACCATCACGAGTTTACGAAATTCAAAAAACCCATTAAACACAAGTAGGTATTTTTAATCGGAAGTACAATAATCGCATTGAAAAAAATGGATAAGGTATTTTTCTGGAAAAGGTTCAAAAATCTAATCGTTTTCGTACAAGGGCAGTTAAACAAATTAATTTTTCTGGCAGTGCAAAAATTTGAAATACCATACAAAATGGACTACTTCCACTGCACTGTTTAAAGTGGTGAAATAATAATTATCAAACTTAAAAAATTATTCCATAGTACCATTTCAACTATAGGTACTTGTACAGGATCAGGTTAGCGGTATTTCAAAAGGTCATTCGCAGTGTTGATTTACGTAGTGCCTAACGCTTTTTTCATATTGGATTGAGCGACGGTTTTGAATTGAATTTTCCATTATTTTAATAGAACGTGCGGAATTCCCACGTCTACGAATAACTGTTTTAAATAAAATAATAACAGCGCGCACTTAATGGCCACATTTTTAAATACGGCAATGTTTATTCTTTTAATTTACCTTGAGTAACTGCCAGTCGAACGTGTCTGACCAGTCCATGACAGGAAAATACTCATCATTACTATCATCTGCATCATTATATGAAGACGCTTCGTTGGTTGGTGCTTCGGTTGGATTTTCAGCTAAATGAACTCCATTTATAACGCACAATGCCACTATAAAACGAAATTTTAGAAACATTTTCGACCGCATCGCTTAATGCGCTACTAGGACCGTTAAAAGAAGCAGAAAATAATGTCCCATTTTCAATTTAGATTTGCTTATCATTATCGTCCAATAATTACAAATAAAAATAATCTCTTTGGTAACATAGTTATCAGTGGTCTTAGGTCAAACATCTACATTTTATGGTAACCAATAGATTACGCAGTTTCGAAAATTGTAATAAAAATTTGAATTGCAAGAGTCTTTGTACGCTTCTCACTTCGAGCGCTAATTAAAATCAAGTTTGACGCCAAACTTAATAATGAAGCAATAATGGATATTAAATTCCTCCTTTTGACGTAACAATATAATTAGTGATTCGTAATTAAACACTTACCTACAATCCCATAGAGCCCCATAGTTAATCGCACACTTACTAAAACGCACTGAACCTCTCAACGCAACAGATTATATTGGTACAAATAGATGGTGATGGTCTTTTTCGTGGCGAACACGTTATACTGTATAAATGCTTGTCGTATGGGATTCCCTTAACTAGCTGTTATCAATTCGACATATATTTTCGTATAATTCGGACAGAAATTTCTAAACATTTAAAAAACCTAATATTTCATTAATGACACGAAGTAATTGCGGAACAATGTAAGATTATAAGTACAAACTCGTTAAAGTCAATTACGTTTGAATCGGCGAAGTACCTCCAAAAATCATTCAAAAACACTTCTGTGTAAGATGAGCTGCATATACAACCTGTGAAACAAGAATTTTGTTCTCGTCAAAAATTTGATTTTGCTTCCAAAAATCCAAATACTGTCATATGCGTTTATTTCGTAACAACTTTAGCAAATGTGTCAAATAAGCAAATAGCAATAAGACTGATTAAATTCTTCTCTATGCACTACTTTAAATAAAAAAAAATTATTTATTGTTGATTTTCCAGAATAAGCATATGGGGTTATTTAAAATCCAACGTTTACTATAGCAATTCTTGTTCAATCAACGATCTAAAGCTTGCAATAAGTGAAAAAGTTGCTGGTTCCACATCAAACAAAAGGAGTCCAGAATTTTAAAGAGAAATGTGAAAGAAGGGAGTTCTCATCTACTTTTCAATGCTTCAATTGAAAAATTGTCAATTCTAAAATTGGATTACTTAGGGAAAATATTGCTGTAAATAAATCTGTTACACGTTGAAAATAAAACAGACGCCAAATGTAAGCCATTTATTTGCACCACCCTTTATAAGGGAAAAGTCTTTTAAGGGCAGGGAATTTCCGTCTTACGCACACATTGCATTTTTATTCTCATAAGCAATGATAGGGTAAACTAGTGTCAAGAACAGCTCTCTTATTTGAAGTTCACTATGCCTATATGTTGGGAAATCATTAATATTAACCCTTATGTACGGTGTGACGGTAATTTGAAGTTGATGCAAGCAATATATCACCTCACAAGGAAGCATGTTCTTCCCTGAAAAATTGCAGTATTCTGGCAATTTATTACGTACTTATTACGCATCAAAGTCATATTGCAAATATATCATGCTATACATCAGTTCATCATCTACAGGTGGTATCAATTTCGTGGCATAATATTAAGCACTTTGGCAGTTGTTCTTGACACTAGGTATGTCTGTAACTTGTATCAATTCCCCAGCCTTAAATCAGACCGTATAAGCTCATTTCCAGCGTCTTTTGAACCCCAATTTTCTTCAACATTCGGAAAATGTGTGTATTAATTTAATTTTGGGGTAGGTTCTCCTGTTGATCATTGGCTGACATCAGCTGCTTCCTCTTGGTCAGAAATAAGCATATGCAGTAGCTGTCAAGCTGTGCCGAGGGCCCTGTCATTCGACACGTTCCGGTCGACTATACGGTAATCCGGATTCCGGAACAAAGATCACAAAACCTTCCCCATAAATTTCATTTATTATACAAATGTATAAATAATCATTATTTATATCTTTATAATAAATGAAATTTATGGGGTAGTTTTTGTGATCTTTGTTCCGGATTATCATTTACCCCATTTCGAGGTTCCCTGAGAGAATGGATACTCAACAAGTGACTATACGGTACTTGCTTATAGGCACTCTTGACAGCGTAAGTTTGATCTGGGACTTCTGGGAGCCAGCGCACTGGGATAGGGGGCAACTTTGTCAGTACCCTACGAATTTCCCCCTTCGTTGTCAGGACCAGGATTAAAGACTGAGTGATCAATCAATTCCAGGCTCACTGGCAACGAGCAACTGTACTCAAACAAACCAGGGCCTTCTTATCGGTGCCCCTGTAAGTCAGATTAGGAAGATAATCGGAGTCCTCACGGGGCACTGGATGGTCAACTAGATTAGGCTGGCGGGGAGACTACGTGCAGGTTAGTGGGAAAGCAGATGAAGCTACCGAGCCTTTACTGAAAGGAACAGCTCTGATTTTTATTTGGCATCCAGAGGTGTGTCAGTCTTTTGAATAGGCAAATGTACCAGATATTGGATTATTTACAGATCGTAAAAAAACCTCGATAAATGAATACCAATACGAAATATCGAAGGATCCTCAGTATTACCATTACTTTTTAACGACCATTCTACCCTTAGGTGTAAAGGTATTGTAGCAGTACAGCTTCACATTAACTTAAACTATTTCATCGTGATTGCATTAAAACTGAAAAAAAGTAAATTCTCATTTAAAAAAATTAGTATTTATGTGTGCACAAATTTCGGCCACTCTTTTCTTATTCTTGGCTAGGGTTTTTGCTGCTCTCCATGTGGTATTTCTTGCCTCTAGTATCTTCCTTATGTCCTCGTCCCATGTTATCTTCGGTTTGTCCCTGTTTCTTTTGTGTTGGCTTCTGGATTCCCATACCTGCTTCACTTGTCTTACGTTGTCCATTCTTTGAAGGTGCCCCCACCACGCTAATTGCCTGTTTTCAATGTCTGTCCATTCTTGTTACACCTTTTGTTCGTCTAAGATATTTCATCTCCACAGCCGTTAATTTACTTTTAAGTTTTTGTGTTAACACCCACGTTTTACACCCGTATGTCAATATAGGTCCGTACACTGCCTTATACACATTTATTTTAGTTTGTTTTCAGACTTCTTTTTTACTTATGAAACTTTTGTTAATCGCGTGTAAACAATAATTTCGGGTACATTTTACTCTAAAACCTTTGACACAAATCATAGAGTCATAGGGAATAATCTAGCGAAAGTCTGAACTCCCTAGGGAATGAAATGTGTTGATTTCTATTATATTGAGCCCAGTTTTTCTTGTTCCCAATTTACTCCTATATCATTTATTCCTGCTTCCAATAGCGCCCCAAAGTACCCGTGCACCAAATTTCAACACGATCGGCCACTTTTCAAAAGGGTTATAGAGCACACGGACAGACCGACAAAAATTAAAAGCTAAGTGTCGGGAGATCTTAAGTAATAGTTAGCGAACATAGACGAACGGGCGGATAAAAGATTAGATTTGGAACGTGATCACGAGAGGGGCTTTTGTATTTGTTGCAGGAATTACACCAATATTTTAAATCAAGAAAAATGTAAAGAAAAGTGGGGTTTTTATTTTCACCAATATATTCGAGCAATCCAATTTACATGAGTAGAGTGATCAAACCAGAAAAAGTTTTAATTTTCAAATTATAAGCGGAAATATAAAACCAGTTATGCACGTTTTACTTTCAAAAACAGCATCTCAGGAAATAATTCATAGTGAAATTTATGACCGTTAGGACAAATCCACCAAAACCGCAGAAGTGGGTCCGGACAGACGGGCGGACAAAACACAAACAATAGCAGAATAAGAATGAACAAAGTAAGGTACCGCAACGGTTAAGCGATTCTAGCTCATATCGCTTACGTTAAAGAATGTTTATTGAAGTGAATTTCGCTTGCATCGCATGGAATCAAGTAGGCGTAAACAACATTGCTGTAAACAAAAACTGGATGCAAGCGAAATTCAGTTCAATTAACATTATTTGACGTAAGCAATACGATTTTGTTTGAGAGAATTATTTATATTAAATCGACGACGTGATGTAAAAAAAAGTTAACGTGCATTTAGTGGGGTTAATTACATATCAGAACAGTAATAACAAATGGACTATAAGTCAGAAGTGCCTTACGTAACTCAGAAGTGCTTAACGTAATTCAGAAGTGCCTTACGTAAGTCAGAAATGCTTTACGTAAGTCAGAGGTGCCTTACGTTAGTCAGAAGTGCCTTACGTAAGTCAGAAGTGCCTTACGTAAGTCATTAGCGTTCTTCCCTAAACGTGTCAACCTGGCTTTACACAGGCTTGTGGATATCGACCATAATGAAAATGGACATGCGTAGTACACAGCATTTACCTTATGACAACCAAAGTCTAACCTAAGATTTTGTTCTGAGAATCTTTCGCAGTTTTTTGAATTTCTTTCAACAATTGTAATTAACAAGTTGCTGAAATAAATGTCTTCTTTAGACGTCGCGTGGTTTTAGTTTAGTAATGCATTTTAAATATTCCTTCTCAAATGGTTGAGGAAAATGTTCAGTCCTCCAGCTTCTATATGGCTAACTAACTATAAAAAAGGTACAGCAGTTACTAAAGCGTTTATTGGGCAAATAAATTTATTGTGGTCCTTTTGTTAGTTTAGGGACACAATTCCTAAAGCATGTGATATTACCTTAATCCGATTATATTAGTAAATATGAAATTTCCATTCATACTTGTATAATAATTAGCTATAGAATGGTTACCATTCGCTGGAAAATCCGGAAGTTTCCATATAACATATAGTAAGTGCTCACTACTAAGAATTTGTATTAATCTGTATATTGCAGTCGTTCCATTAGATCATCCTTTCAAAAATTTTACTACACATTCCGTTCATTAACTTACAATCATTACATGGATCAAAGTTATGCAGCAGACGTTTGTATGGAGCCACTAGTATGGTTTGTTGACAATTTTACACACACTATCGGACCGGTATGTACTTCATTACTTGAATATGATATACCAGATGTATTTTTCAGTTATTTGTGGTAGCTGTAATTTGTCTAACTGCATCTGTAGTGGGAATTGCATACTGGATTGGTATCCCATACTGGTGGAATCGAAATCCATTTTTCTGCATTATATTAATAATAATTGGCCATTGGTTATTGCTGAATGTCTCCTTCCATTATTATATGGGTGTTGTTACACCTCCAGGATTTCCTCCTCAGGTGAGGACCATTGAAACGATTGGAGAAACTGAGTTTTGTTTTAGGATGAACTGATTACTGAGGTTGTAAGTATTTGTAAAAAGTGTATCGCTCCCAAACCTCCAAGAACTCATCATTGCTCAGTGTGCAAGCGGTGTATTTTAAAAATGGACCATCATTGCCGTATCCTTTAACAATGTATAGCCTCATAGTAATGTGACGATTTTCTAAACAATATCAGCATGGTTAAATAACTGTGTGGGTTACAGAAACCACCGGTACTTCTTTATGTACACTGTCTATATGGTAGTTGGTGTACTTTTCATTATCATTTTTGGATTTGATTTAGCTTACTCTGGAATTTGGTTATCATCTGATGATTACGATGATCCTGAGCTAGAGGGACATCCTGTTAAATTTAATAAGACCGGAGCTCTTATACCCGTCGTATGTTTCTACCAAATAGCTAATTCACTTAATCTTTTGATTATTGCAGACCGACATATTGTACTTAGATACCAATTCTCTCGTCCAAGATCACATTAATGACGGCATTGAACTTATTCATCCGTGGAAGAAACGTGCAATAATATACATGGCCCTGATCAATACCGGTAGAACATTTGACTGTCAAGTAGTACGGCCTAAAACCTCTCAATTTTCTAGGTGTATTAGTGGCACTCGGCGGTTTGGCGTCCTGGCACAGTAGACTTATTACGAAGGGGGAAACGAGCATAGAGGCGAACATTAATAAGGCCGAGACGTTGCGGTGCCTTAATTTGGGCAAGATCTATAGAAATCCGTATAATTTTGGCCCTCGAAAAAATTGGAAAATTTTTCTCGGACTAATCAGAGAAAGGTAAAATAAAATTGGGATATTTTTGACATTTGTTAAATTACACAAAAATGGGAAAATGGTAGGCGCAAAACTCTACCCTTCCATTTAGGGGCTGTGCCATAGGTAAAATGCCCAACAAATTGATCTCCAACCAAATGCAATTTTGATGAATGCAAATTTTTTTTTATAAATTTGTTCCTATTGATGATTGTATAGTGTCCAATTTTTTACGCTTTTATACAGTATCTCCATTATTTTTGTTTTTAATGAAAATGGTTAAAGTTTGGTATCCCTCATTAATCCACGTCCCGTTCTAAAAGGGTGATAATAGCATCTGAACTGTTTTCGATGAGTTCAGCTGCTGCAATTTTTACGTCAACTTCTTCGGTTCTGGGTCTGAAATAGGAGCTCAAGGTAGGAGATTAGGGGTTGTGTGTTCTTTTCCGTTGGTCCAATGTACTGTGATGACATATCCAGTCAGTTTGGATTTGTATGACTGAAGCTTAGGGTTATCGACCATGTCCAGTGTATATATAGGCTGTAGATTAGTGTAGCTTTTTGCCACATTGGTTTTCAGAAGTGATAAGTACTATCTTGGCGCATTTCCATGTCAAAGAAAGAGTTTGTGTCTTAAGTTGAGTTTTTGAATACCTAGATATATCGATGATATGTGGTACACGTAATGCACTGGTTAGTCTTAGTGGCATATGTCGGTGCAGGAATTGAAACCAGCTTGTTCTACTCTCTTGGACTTGTAAGTGTGCCAATTCTATCACAAAAACTAATAGTAAAAATAAAGAGATTAATAATTAGAATTAAATAAATTCCGTATCAATTGCCCTGTCATTAATGTCAATTAGTTTAAAATTAACGTCACAGTCGTTTTTTAAAAATAAGTATCACTAACTCTAGTAATCAAAACACACTTGACTCTGCAAACATAAAAAGTTTGCCTTAATAATAATTGTGCGTCATGACCAGGAGATTCATAAACGATGAGAAACAAAAATGTATTAAAGGGTTAAATGTTATCAATAGTTACTTCCCAATGTCACAACACAACAATTAGACACACAGAAAGAGTTTCTTGTACAAATCAGACGTTTTTAATAATATAGTGTTTTAGATCATGGTTTCGGCACATCCTTCTCCCATCAGCTCATGAGCCCATTGGTGATGGTTTAACTTGGCATACTATCCACGATGATGGTATTGAAGGATGGTCCTAATGCACTGCAATACGTTCTAGTCAACGAAACAAAGACATAATTCCGTAATTTTGTTTAAAGAAATTATATTTCTGACTGTTTACAATTACATCATAATTCTTAAAAACACGTTTTGCAAAAGACTTTCATTGTAACTTATAAACTATAATACATTCACTTTACAAACTACCATATATGTTTTGCGATCCAGTCAAGGTAATGTGATACTCTGGTATATACTGCCGGCAAATTGGCGCCTCCACAACCTTTTCCAAATGATGTAACACCGATTAGATATGAGACACATCGGTTTTTGGGTTTTGTAATTGTTAATGGGCCGCCAGAGTCACCCTGAAAATAAGACATGGTTGTATATGTATATATACAGTTGCCAACCACAAATATTCTATACACTATTGGAAGTGAACGGCGCTACATTGGGCCTCGGAATAGGTGGAGTTTGTCAAGAGAGGATTGTTATGGAAGTGAAAAAAGTTGAATTGCAGTATACAGTAGGCTACTACTGAAACAAATACTGATGCGGATTCAGGACCAACCCAAAAATATAATTGCTGCAAGTTAATACTGGTCCCGGGATCCATAACAAGTTAAAAAGTAATCGTAAACGATTTACATAAAGCGCATTTCCACTTGCATTCGTTTCCCATTTGTAAGAACTTCTGTTAAAATCCGGCCACAAATATGAAAGATAGCGTTGCACATGGGCAATCCATTTTTGACGTGCTACTTCAATTTCAGTTTATGAGAAGAATTTCATTTCAATGCTTTTCTAAATAAGAAAGTTGGAACTGCGCATGCGCAAACCTAAATTTTAAAACTAATGTTAGATTTTCCTTTGTTCCAAGCGCCTAAGTATCAAATTTCACTTAAATGGTTCCATAGATAAAAAAGTTGGCACTGCGCATGCGCAAAGCCAAATTTTGAAACTGGCGTTTGATTTTCCTTTATCCCAAGTGCCTATGTATCAAATTTCGATTAAATTCTTCCATAAATAAAAAAGTTGGCACTGCGCATGCGCAAAACCAAATTTTGAAATTGGCGTTTGATTTTCCTTTATCCCAAGTGTCTATGTATCAAATTTCGTTTAAATTCTTCCATAAATAAAAAAGTTGGCACTGCGCATGCGCAAAACCAAATTTTGAAATTGGCGTTTGATTTCCCTTTATTCGAAGTGCTTATGTATCAAATTTCGTTTAAATTCTTCCATAAATAAAAAAGTTGGCACTGCGCATGCGCAAAACCAAATTTTAAAATTGGCGTTTGATTTTCCTTTATTCCAAGTGCCTATGTATCAAATTTCATTCAAATACTTTTATAAGTAAAAAAGTTTGCAATTCGGTTTATAAATGGTCGAGATGCGAAAGGGCACTGTGAATTTTGAATCGATTCGATTCAACTTTTGGCGTTGCGTATTATATGGCTAAAGCTATGCCCATATTGAATTTCATGCAATTCATTTCATAACTAACGGAGATGTAAAAGCGATCGAACATTTCTAAACAAAGTAATCTTTCACACGGACCAAAAGATGGACAGACAGACAAGGGACAGACACAGAACCAACCGGCAGGCGACAGATAGCAATGCAAAATTATAAACGATCTCTAGGATCGTTAATAAACGGCAAAAGTGTAAGATTATGGAACATGTAAAAAACGGTTTTTTGTTTTTTTTACAATAACTTTTTTTGTAAGCGGTACAGAAAAAATTCCTTCCTTGGTACAAGTAGAACAATAGCTCTTAAGATAAAGAACTAGTAGCGTCGCAAAACGAGCGGACGGACGGACAAAGTGGCCACAATAGCGCTTTTTTTTTATTTTTGTGGAAATGCGCTAAAAAGTATAGGAGAAAGGGGCAAAACAACAGCCGATTAAAAAAATAAAACTGGGAAACTGGTTGTTAATACTATCCATCGCAATGTTGACACAATTGTACAAGAGATTGCCGAACAGCAGAGAACATTTTCTACAAATTTCCTGTTTCCAAAGATGAGCTGAACTAAGGAAATGAAATAATCAGCATTCTAAACCTCAAAATAAAAAGGGCTAATACAACAGCATATCGCATAGGTAACAGCTCTCATTCCAATCGCCCAATCAAAATCTATTCATCAGTCTAATCAAAACTTCTTCAAGCTGAGTACTATACAGGGTTGGTTCGATGTCGTCTGTGAACCTCCACATTGAAAGTTATTCACTTTTTGATTTTTTGTCAATGTTGCCATCTTATTAATTGTTTTTTGAAGTTAAGAAATAAATTTGAGCAACAATGTTAATCCGAGTAGTAAAGGGCAACACTTTGATATATAATGAGAAAGTTGGATTTAGTGATACAGAGTGTTCACAAGGAAATGGTACATGCGCAATAAAACATTTTATCTACGATAATTCTACAAATGACTATCCGCACTTTTAAGAGTATTTCAGTATACGCTTAATAAATGGAATTCGCCTTCAGAAAAACCTGCCTTATAAATTTTTTGCAACCAGTATTTCTTCTTCTTTCTTTCTTTATTTTCTTTTCAAACTTCCACCAACATTGCCAAAGCAAGCATTTCATCATCACTAGATGAACTACTCGATGAAGCCATGTTTTAAAACGGAACTGCATCGAGCCGTTCGTTCCTCACCAAAAGAACGTGTGAGAATCGGCCTTGATTCATAGAAAAGAAAAATGCTTTTGGATTTAATGAAAAAGGTATATGCTAACTACGTATTTGAGTTAAATCTTAAATTTTAAAAAAAATTATTTAGCATTAACATTTACATATTTTATTATATTAGTGTTGTCATAAGCACTTTATTTTGTGTAATAAACATATTAATTTTCTGGGAAGAAAATGGTTTCTTTTACCATAAATACACCGTTTATCGAACTTGCCTGCATTTTCATTACTTACAAAAAAATTCATTTGTTCATTAAATTTTCTATTAGGTATTGTAATTTGACTTGTGTAAATATCTTGTGATAAACTACACTAACAAAGTATTATTATTATTATTTGAGATAACGTAGTATCACATTTAAACCATTTTTCCCATTCTTCAATAACCTAAAAACTACGGGGTTTAGACAAGACATTCCTTATAAAAACTGAAGAGAACACAAAAGGCTGTCGAATAGCAAAATAAAATAGTGGTAGTTCCATTTTAAAAAAATAATTATGGCACTTTGAAATTCGTAAATTTTACCATTTCCTTGTGACACCCTGTATCACTAAATCTCATTATTAATCGGCAGAGCAAAGCAATGCAAGCTTTATAGGGGAGTCGATAGTGTCCCCGTCCATGAACACGATAATTGTCAAATGCTTGGACCGATTCGGTTCAAACTTGGCACAGTTCACCTATATGCCACGAGTAATAAACCTATTGAAAATGGGTCAAATCCAATGACCCCATAGGGTCACACCGAGGTTCTCTGCCGCTTTTTTAGATGCTCTTTAGGGATTATTTCTTACTATGAAAGTGTTGCCCTTTACTCATTAGACTGTCAAATGACAAATCTATTTCTTAGTTTCAAAAATCAAGATCGCTACAATTTATCAAACTGAGGCTTGCTTATGGGGAAATTTTTCGAAAGAAATTCGCCTTTATTTCATGGTTTGTCCGTCCATCTGTCTGTCTGTCATCTGACTCGAGAACAAAAGAAGACTGCGATATCAAACATTCACCAGTCGATTTCTGCGAGTTCAAGGATAAGTACTATTGCATATGAGCCGGATTAAAAGTGTTTCTGAATACAAGCTGAGTGTAAAAAACACATTCAATCAATGTGCTCTTCTTGTTACAAGGAGAAACTAAGTCTTCTCAGCAAACTTTGAGGCATCTGAATTTGCTCAATAAGTATTGTCTGATATAGATTTCACCAAGGAATCAAGGAGTCCTTGGCATAAAGAAAACCAAGTAAAACCATTCATGTAGGACAGGCTGAAAATTTTAAGTGAAGATATTTTTTTTGTAACGGTGACAGTCAAAAATCTTGTTATGTATCCTTACCTGGCATGTATCTTGTCCACCTTCAAGTTTCCCTGCACATAGCATATTTGGGATAATACCATTAGGTAATTTTGAGGTATCAGTATGATATGATCTGCTACACACTGAGTTGTCGAAAATATCCAACGCCACTTTTAATAACTTATCGCTTTGTTCTTCCACTACAAAAAAAAACCAGGTAGGTAAGTGTGGATTAAAAGAAACTGCTCTTACCAAATCCAATTTTCCCCCATCCTGTTGCAATGCTAACGTTATAGTCGATTTTATTTTTATTCCAAAGGCAAGCTGGTCTTATGTATTTGGTAAAAGTTACTTTTTTCGATAATTTTATTAAAGCTATATCGTGGTTATGTGATGGTGGTCTATATTGTTCATGCGCCTTTACACTTACCACGTTGTAATCTTTGTACTCTGTACCATCGTTGTCGCTCTTTAGGTCTATTTCTCCTAAACGCACAATGACAGGTTCGCCACTATCAATTTGATTAGTTTACTAGCAATAACAATACGGTTATTTACTTACTATATGGTGGAGGCGCAGTGTGCCGCTGTAATAACATAGTTGTTACTAACCAATGTACCACCACAAAACCATCCAATGCCGTCGTTAGTACTGTAACCTAGTACTGCCTGAAACACATCTTTGCAATAATCAGATGTTACTCTTTTATCATACCATGAATGGAAATTCTCCTGGAGCAGCTGGGCTTCCACCAACTATCAACGGAAGTCCGTAATTGTCACAATTTACCACATCGATGCTAACCGGTTCTGCGTCGGTTATTAAAGGAACTGCATTTACAACGCCCATCACCGATTTACTATATTCCCGGCATTCTAAAAAAAAACTAAATATAGTAACTCTCAAGAAGGGATAATTTTGACTAACTCTCTTCGGCTATACTTTCAACTCCATTTGATTGAGACCATATGTATTCGTTGTTCTCAGGAAATATGAAGCCTTCATCTCCATTTTTGTTGTCAATATCCAGAAATGTATTATCGTTGACTAGTACTTTCTTTTTTTCTGAAATAATCGCATTCGAAATTAGTGTTCTCTTTAGCACTTAAAAATTGAGAACAGTCAAAAACAACAGTATGGCTCTAGAGACGAATGGGGGGGAGGTCCAGGGTGACAACATCCCCAATCGCCTCTTTCGTTACGGGGGAAAAGTACGCGAAAAAAAAGAAAAAATTTTGACTTTCACTAAATGATCCATTTATGGCCATCTGAAGCTGAAGAGTTTGGTTTGGAGAACGCTTTATCTCGAGGATTTAAATAAACTTTCATAAAGTGACACGACTTTCCCATCCGGAATACCAGACCCACAGATATATGTCGTATATCTGTGACCAGACCCGCCTAGGTTTTTTAAAAATCGAAAACGGTTTCAACCCTATCGCATTTTAAGCTTTAACCTCACTAGCACGCATCAGCCAGACCTTTTTGTGACCTCTCTCATCCTTCACTCTATTCTCCTGAAATTTTGACCCCACCAACTAATGCGCGTTCTATTTTCCCCGTGTGAGTATGCTCCAAGAATCTAGAAACTGCCCCCTCGTGCATTCAAACGTACAATAAACAATTTTCAATATTCAGGCGCAATCTCTGGTTAACCAGCTTTGAAAATCCTAAGGAGATTGCCAGAGTTCCCAGGCAGTTTCTAGCACCCCACTCTTCAATATAACATCTTGGTGGCAACAAAAAAAAAACGATCAGCAGAAAACCCTGTTTTCTAAAAATTACAAAAATTGAGGATTTTTAAACCCCTCGCAGCCCTCCTCCTCCCCCCATATGACAGGTATTCCCGGTTAAACCGACACCTGCGTATACCCTTACCGTAATTTACCAATACAGCACTGTGTACAACGTGAATATAATAATATAATGCCCTAAAAAGATGAGCCCGATGGCCAATTCTCGCTTTCCGTGATAGTTTAGTTGCCTATACCCGCCTGCTCCCAACGAAAAATAGGTTTATGAAAAAATACGAGTGTTGGATAGAAAAAATTTGGGTTCCTGCAGACGTACCGTGGCATTTTAAAATGTTCTTAATATTTCAGTTAATACCCGCATACCTAATCGTGAACAAAAGGTTTATCAAAAGACCGACAGTGATAAACTAGAAAGGATACAAAAACTAAAAGTCATGAATATTGAATTTGCAAGTTCTTGGCTATCGAAACCAATCGTTTGACCTCTTTCCAATGAAATTGACCTCCTATCAATGTGATGTGGGGGAACCCCAGATTTCTATGAACTTGAAAACTTCGGATAAGTTAATCGGCGCGCACACAATAGGAAATAACCAACAAATGTGTAATTGTTCAATAAACTAAATAAATGTTTACCCTCGCAACATACAATCGGCGTCCGCCCTTGAAATCCGCATATAGTAGCTGTAGCACGATTCGCCGCATCTTGTACTCTGGGACAGTCGGTTATAAGTCTACAAACCCCAAATGCATTACTTCCTCTAACCGTGCAGTCGGTATTCAAATTACCTACAAAAAAATTCTTTCGTTTATTCACAGTCTAATGTTAAACTCATTAATAAACTATTAGTAGTTAGTAATCTTTTTTTAATTACAATCATGTTTTTGAAACAATTGGGTCTTGAACTATGGGTTCAATTTTTTCTCGAAATTATGGGGCTAAATAAGAAAATTTGATAGGTACCTTCGATAGTAGCGTGCAAAAAATGAATTATTTCAGTCCTTCCGGTTTCTTACGACACACACATACAAAGAGATGACTAACAACTACTTTACTGCATAGCAAATTACCTGTACAAAACCGTAAATAAGTATAGGTACGTCGTCCGAAGAATAAGTAATAAAATGGTTACTTACGTTGAGGAGACGCTTGAAAAAACAAACATGATGTTACGAATAAAAAGAGATCAAACTTCAAACTCATTTTTTAAACATAAACACTTTACATGTGCTTAAATTCGGGTTGCACTACGCTTTTCTCTTTCATCTAAACACTACGAAGATATATTAATATTCGGGTTTGTGTTGAATAGTCATAAAAGCTGTCACACTGGTTTACAAGAACAATTTGCATCAACTATTAACACCGTAAATGTAAAACCCCATGTTTAATTGATATACCATGTACATCCCTCTTTGAAAATTTGGCGTAGTGTCAATCAATTGGCGGGTTGCGCAAATCTTATCTTTCACGTGCTTTCAAAAACTGACGCCAAACGCTAAAAGTATTAGCAATAAATAAAATATGTCAAATGTTTAAATTTACCAACTTTCCCTATTGCACTAACGTAAGCAGTTCGATAGTGCAATTGTGGACTTACTTTGGGAATTTACGGGATTAGTGCCTAGCTAACGCAACAAGCAAACAGAAACTACTTCAATTTTATTCAAATAACTGGAAAATGAATCAGTTTCCCAAGCAGTTTAGATTAAGATCGTTGAAATAGAATAAATAAACAAGACTGAATTAATAGCATTTTGACTGTCTTTTACCTAAAATTAAAATTCATTTTCCCCGTGGGCATAACTTGAAGGAATTCCCCAAAACTTCCTTAAAGCCAGCGTAATGGAATAATAAATTTCTACAAAATGTTATTATTAATCGGGAAAAAACACTTCTGAGTAATTACAATTAATACTACGCAAATCGAAGATATAACGTCTTTGAACAGAGACGGATCACGAATAATTTTAAGGCCATCAACATGATTACTTATTTCCTGAACTGCGCTTCAAAATATCCATTACCGCGTATGGGTCCATTATTTGCCTCATTGACATTGGAGAGAATTTGAGCAACGCAAGGTATAATTTTGAATGACATTTACGTACTACCTATGAAAACTTGGCAAGGACTATTTATTTATTTATACTCGAAGGTTGCCAAAAATGCGTTCGTATTTTTATGTGATCTTGATTTTTGGTGAAGTTGCACTTTCAATGATTCTTCAATAGTTTATCTGGTGTCATAAGGGCAAAGGGTGAAAATGTTATCGATTATACAGTTTCTTTTATATTCATTTCATTTGATTATATATCAAAATTATTGGACTAGTCTAGGTGCCATTACTGCCGAAAGGAAGAATGGCTCGAAATGTGTGATATCCAATTTGCCAATGTCGTAAGCAAAGATGTAAACAACTAAATTTGACACTCTTCCTCTCTCTTGGTCATTGCTTGCACAGTTTACTTAAGGAGCGCAGCAAAATGTACTGTGCACTGTGCAGGAGCAACACTTTCAATTTTTCACAATAATTGCAAATAAGTTGCTATGCAAAATTTCCATATAAAGCTTCTCCCGGGATCAAATTTTACAACAGTCGCAGGCCCCAAAAGACTTTAACACTACGGCGCGGTTCTTAGGTAGAGCCGCATTTTTATTGTTAAAATGTAATTGGTATCTAAGTCACGGGCTACTTATGTTAATATGGGGCGATTGGTCAATTTTCTATAACATTTTTTCCATTCTCAATAGTGTGGCGAATCTTCTAGAACGTTTTCAAGGCGCCATTGAGTCCATAACGGATTATTCACCGGCGATACGGAACGAAACGAACGACGATGTCGAAGTGCTATAAATGGGACTACAAAAGTAAGAGACAAATATTAATTGATCTGTTATAAAGCAACAAACGAAGGCTGGTCAGGATAAAATCCAACTCGGTCATCAGATCATGGAAGCAGATCAACAAGAAGTAAGAGCTATTAAAGATGAGATACAACGTTTGCCAGATAAGATTCATACGACGAACTACGAACACAATTTATATTATTCACTGCACATATGTGAAACGTGATGCGCCATCTATGATAAAACAAGATCCACTTGCTGTTCGACGATCGTCCCCGAACCGTGTGAATGTATTGGTAAGACCTTTGGGACAGTTTCAGGCCGCTATGCTAAGTGACCAGTAGAAGAGAAAGCAGCTTCTCTAACAGTTCTGATACGTACAAATGCGTAGACATCAGCAACAAGATTTTGAGCAAATTGTATCACGGTTAAAGACTCAGTATTATTCGCAATTAATGAATCCAAGAGAAAAATCAGGTTGATAAGATTGGGGTATCCTACGGCTGTGGTGTGAACGCACACATAAGAAGACGTTGCCGCGACAGTACTGTGACCAGTGGTCGAAGTGGCAAATATTTTTTACCGGTATGGCTGAACTGATAAAATCTTAGTATTGTATGTATGCGTATATTATCATAAAAAAACGGTCGTCATGCCTATGTGGATAAATTTTTTACCGGTATGTTTCACAAAAACTAAAAATCTATCGGTATGCCATACCGCCGCATACCGCCTCACTTCGACCACTGACTGTGACCAAGAAAAAATTGAACAGATCATTGGGAAGGAGCAAGCAAGTTATGTCCCGGAGATTGCCATCCAAGACGTGCACGACTCACTGCACTTATGGATAATGATTAGGTTACCCAAGAACTCTGGATAGCTCAAGAAGAGCAACCTGAAAGGAGCTCCAATTTTAAAGATGTATTGGGTTCAATAGGACTTTTAAAGAGAGTTCTAGAAAATGATGATGGCACGACCACAAGTATACAACTGGTGATACTAGAGCAGAAAATCTGGAATACTACAACTGCAGATGCACAATGATATATTGGTATTCAGGGAGACGTCTAGGAGTGACAAAAACCCTGCGCAAGAGGCGTTAACAGTTCTACTGAGCAAATTGCAAACAAAAAGACGTGAAGGAGGACCGCACAAAATGTGCAGTTTGTGCCGCAAGCAACGGAGCGGTACATAAGAAGAAAGCAGTAATGAAGCAATATGGTAGTCCATTTGAACAATAGATATGGATATCTCAGGCCCCTTCCCAGAGACAGCTTCTGGAAATAAATACATCTTGATGATCATGGACTATTTTGGCAAATGCCCCACCAGATCAAAAAGAGTCAACTGATACACATCTTCTGGTAAAAGAACATTCTAGCAGATTCGAAGTACCCCTGGAACTACAAACTGAAAAGGTAGAATGTATGAATAGGACAATGCGGAAACACTTGTCCAAGATGTAGGTATATTGGACCATAAGCATGGAAACATTTATTACTGATGGCGAACCATTCTGCAGCGCAGGAAACCAAAGGACAGAGCCTAGCTGCCGTTGTGTTTGAACGAAAAGGCCTCATACCATGATTCGAAATTTGGTACAAAATACTAATCCGCCACTGTACAATATACAAAACAAAGAAGCCGTTGGCCCCCTAATGTCATATTTTGCAGTTCGCCAACGTATAACAAGTTGCCTATCCGAAGGTGTACTGGTCAATAAGTGATTAATGTTCTCCATCGTCTTATTTTCGTAGTAAACTTCGAAGTAAAAACGTCATAGCTATTCCAAGGATGTTATTTACATAAGCAACTATCGCTATCTCTGTTTTGTTAACAAATCGAGCAGGAATTGTACGGCAGAAAAAGAAGTACATCTATTCCCACCACACGCAAACTATCGTCTCATCCACTTCCTAATCTACTTACTTAATTTTTTGTAATTTACTTTCTCCGACGTTTAAAGTCAAATTTATTGTGATAAAGATAAAAGTATCTTTTGTTTGTAGACTTTTGTGATTTGTGTGGCAAGGCCTTCTCTGTCGCATTCGATTCTGTGATGTTTATAATATTTTAATGAAAAACATGAGGATTCCCACCAGGCCAGCACCTACCATAGACGAGGCCGTTAACAAAAATAGTACAAAGTAAGTTGAAATTTATAAATCCTGGTTGTTATCATTTTGTTTTTAGACAAAGTCAACAGTACAACAAGAAGAAACCGCCCCCCAGACCTCCGCCTCCTAATTTCAATAAGACACAGAGTAAATCAGCATGGAATTTGAGTCAACAGTTCGATGGCATTTCATTGATCGATTTAAGTCCGCCGGAATCGTTAAACACATTCGTAGCAAATAGGAATCGTGCCTTCGGGGGAAGTGTATCTAGTTCATTTAGTAGTAGTACGAGCAGCTTAGCGTCGAGCAAGAGAAGTTTTGAATATGATAGCGTAAATTTAGACCCGTGGTCGACTCCAGCTCCATCGAATACACAATCAGTATTTTACCTTGATAGTAATAATTCCGCACAACTGTGCGTACCGACAATAATAAGGCCTCAGAGTAATAAGCGAACTGTAAATAAAACGACAAACGAACCTAGCCAAAGAGAGCAATCGCCCCCGATGCCGTCGGTCCCACCTCCATCTCCACCCAAAGAAACTGCTGAAGTGATTGTACCGTACGGAATTGCTTTGTATCATTTTCCTGCCGCTCAACCGGATGACCTTCCATTACAGGTAAGCGATTGGGTGATTATTTTAGCAGTTACACTTTCTGGTTTGTGCCTTTTAATTTTACATGAGCACATTAGATATTCTCCGATTGTAGAGTATTTGCTTATTTTTTTTCTTCGATTTTTTCATAAGAATCAAGGAGGAGGGACGTTCTTCTAATTTCGTGGCCATATGGTTAAAGCCAGAAACGTCCTCCATAGTGCAAGTTATTCATATGACATCATAGATGGCTTGTACATAAAATGATATTTTTTTAATGATTTAAGTTTTTGAATTCATTGTCAAAACTTTCTTGTTGAATTACAATCTTTTTTGGAGTTCAGAAAAAGATACTATTTTCTCAAAATGTTCTAAAAAAATAGGCAGTTTATAATAGACATCCAAAGTAAGAGCAATGTTAGGTAACTCCAGCAGTTCCAAATGCAAGTATGTTAGAGGGATCTATCGGACATTAAACGTGCAAAAATTAAAACTTTTGGTGCAGTCAATTTTTGGTAAAAAATGGAAGGCCCGAAAAAAATTGTCTCAGATCGACCCGGAAAAAAAATTTCTTATAGAATGTGGCCTGTAGAATCCATAATTTCAAACAGTTTGAAGATTGGGCTACTAAATCAAAAGTTACAGCCCTTTGAATTTTTTTTCGAAATTTGTTTTTTGTCCATAACTATTTATTGAGAGGTCTAATCGAAAACGTACGAATTGTTTTGGATTCTACGCACCAAAATTAATAAGAAAAAGTGTTTTCCCGAGAAATTTTGGTGCAGTCGATTTTTGGTAAAAAAGGAAGGTTTACACTGCCTTTTTTTGAGGCCCTCAAAAAAAATTGTCTCAGATCGACCCGGAAAAAAATTTTTCTTATAGAATGTGACCTGTAGAATCCATAATTTCAAACAGTTCCAAAATTGGGCTACTAGTTCAAAAGTTACAGCCCTTTGAATTTTTTTTCGAAATTGGTTTCTAGTCTATAACTTTTCATTGAGAAGTCTGATCGAAAAAGTACGAATTGTTTTGGATTCTACGCACCAAAATTAATAAGAAAAAGTGTTTTCCCGAGAAATTTTGGTGCAGTCGATTTTTTGGTAAAAAAAGGAAGGTTAAGTATTCAAATACTATGCAAAGTATTCGAATACTAAATATTTGTGAAAGTATTTGAATACCTACTTTAAAGGATTTGAATACTAAAAAGTATTTACAAAATCGAATACTGCTCAGCTCTAATGACACCTAGTTTTTTATATGTATATGTCCTGAATTTTCAAATCTCACAACTCACAAAAGAAATGACCGCTACACCCCAATTCGTCTGATTTATGCAGGTACCATTAAACCCCAATAAATCATCCCCTGAATTTTCAAAAATTTGGGTTTTTGTTCACATCCATACTTTTCCTTGGCATCCCCGGAGTAAACGTAGCTGCGTTCTAGTTACTCTGAGGTCAAAATTATTTAAGACTGATTTTAGTTTCTATTATCAATTACTTACAATCATTAGATAATTGTCACAATTGTTTGACAATTGCTGCAATCAGCAACTGTAGAACTCTAGAACTATTATGAGTGCAAATTGAAGTAGTTCGACATTTGAGCGCAATTCAAAGTAGGGGTTTAAAAATTAGGTGTCGTCATAAGATGGCATCTCGTTTCACCCAAAAAGGGATCTCTTAAGTATAGACAAAAAGATCAATATGGTATATACAATTCTGGGCACCATATGGTCTACCTCTACATTGTACAAGAAAACTTATTGGGCCTTGTACGAAATGTGAAAATTTAGTTTTAGAAAAGATAGAAACAAATTTTGTATATACAGATTGGGTCACAGTATTTTATGGAAACTTACAGATTAAAATGCAGTTTAAGGTTCTAATGGATTATGAGAAACGTGACTAGCAGCACAATTACCTCAAGGTGTTTTTACTTTGTTGTTAATAAAGATAACTCATATCTGAAACAATTTTCTCAAGGCAGTTTTGGATATAGAATAAACCGACTAATTACTTTATTGCTAACACATTTTTTGTCGACGAAATATCTTGTATTGCTTTCCTTAAAATTATCTTCAAGAAGTTTTTTAAAATAACTGAGCACTATCCGCTGTCAGAATTGTAAAATTCAATATGGCGTCGTATTATGCGAAAAATTTCAGTAAGATCAATCTCTCTCACCGGATTTTTACTTAAGTACTGTTGCTGGGCAGAAAACGAGAACAATTTTGTATTGATTATTCGATTAAAAATATGTCTTGACACTTTCAATTAATTGTAATATGATGATTGCAGGTTAATGACATCGTATTCCTTCTCAAGCGACTGAACTCCGAATGGTTTTACGGTCGCGTCGAAGATCGCGAGGGTATGTTTCCCGCCTCCTTCATCTCCATACAAGTGCCTTTGCCCGACGAAGACAACCTTGTTACCGCATTATACGAATTTAATCCCCAAGTAGCTGGCGATTTGCAACTGAAACCTGGTCAAGTAATACGCGTCACTGGCCGCTTATCGGACGATTGGCTGATAGGAGAATCAGAAGGACGTGTAGGACAATTCCCTTCAAATTTTGTTGATAGGGTACCTTCTGTGTTATAGTAATTAGTACAAATTTTGTTTGTTAAGGTGAGGTGAGTAGTCCTATAATACTGTAACGTTTATTTATTTGTTAATTTAATTGTGTTGTCCCAGGTTAATTATTGTTCAAATTATCAAAGCAAACTAACCAAAAATTATGCACAATATAATGTTTTTGATAATATTTACCAAATTTTAATGTACCTTGTATGCCATTGTATCGTGAACAATAATGCCATCTCTCTGATTAATACAGGGAAAATGTTATTGTCTTAGTTTAGTTTTGAATGTGATAACGCAATAGATATAATTCTAATGGGCCAATAATAATCGATGTTACATATATTTTTGTATTTCAGCGTAATTAATAAACTGAAATGACCATCTGTCAGTTGTTATGCTGTTATGTGCAATAGTCAGACTATTTTGCTCTTTATTTCTTAAACGTCCTTTTATCAGATGGCCTTGAAAGCCAGGGGTTTTTATTGGTTAATCTTATGTTACCTGGATCTTAAAAAGCGAATGTAAATTTGCCGCATATGAATAGTTGTCAAGTCTCCAATCTGACATTTATTACCAGTTAAGCGAGTCTTTCTTCGCAAAAGATACACCTAATAATAATTATTATTCTCTTATTTCCATTGACACATACTAGGCTGCGTCAAAAAATATCGAAATAATGAGATACTTTCTTCCTTTTTCCAGACAATGTGCTTCTGGAAATCTGTTTATGGGAAACTTGACCGAAACCCTCATCTCAGGTTCTGGGATTTGAAGGATTCTTCCCATAGGGAAGCAATAGCAGAAAACTGTGCTTTTGTCAAGTGTTTTCTAGGAAACTTACAGTTATGTTCAAGAAGAAGCTGGTGCCAGTCGGTTTTGAAAACATACAGCGCAAAGAATTCACAAAAAGGGCACAATGAGAACACTTTGTACGTTCTTAGTAGACCTCTGACCTGGCAGGCTGGGTTTCGCATAGGCGCTTGCATTCTGACAAAACGGGGCCCCAACATATCATAACAAGAAATTATAGCGACAATATTAATAGAGCAAACGCGTCAACATACATAATCATAAACAAAATGTATAGCGTTGAGAGGTGACATCTGCTAACAAAGTATTTGACACAAAAACTAAAATCATGTAAATACTCAGAATGTAACCTGAACCTGAATTAACACAAGATGTGCCTTGTGTCATTATCTCAGTTGTGCAGTTGGACAAGTTTTTTCTCGGAAGAACATTACATCTTTGGACCAAACAAGATAAAACTCGTAGCATATTGTCATCTTTAATGAAAATAAAGGTAAAATTGAACTATAAAAATAGGAACATTTATTTTTAGCAAAATAGACTCTGACACTGCTGCACATAAGTGATGTTATACTAGGAGAATAATTTATGTTAAATATATCTATGAAGAACTAAACAACGTAACAAAACTATCTTATTCAATCTTAACATATCACAATTAGACTTTGGTCGATATCATTCGAAACTTGGCTTCCAAAGTTTCTTATTAAGTGTTGTTGCAGCCGTTTGGAGGCCAGTCATATAAGTCACAATTTTAGCTTCCAATGCCTCATATGATTTTTGTAAGCTTTCTCGGCATTTCTCATCATGTGGATACTTTTCTAGACGCTTCTTCAACATTAGAGTGCGTCTCTGAAATATGAAAGAAAGTGTGAGATAATTGATACAAATTCTCTGTTGTGTCCTTGTTTTTCAAGTTACCATCCTGTACTATACCTTAAATGGAATCCTTAATTGTTTTGAGATCTCTTCACAAAGTAGTTTGTAGTTTCTATCATCCATGTTACACTTAATGTACGCCATTCTTAATATTTCATAAACACGTCTCACTCTGCGCTTATTTAATTTATACTCCTCATTGGCCACTTTTGACATGGTGTCACTGAAACCTTTATGTATGTTGTTACAATCAAATTGTTCAATCTGCATTAGCAATTGACAGTCCACCATATCCCTTAGACATGAAAATGGCATATTCGTGGCTGGAGCTACAAAGGTAATTTTAGAAAATTGGGCTAATAATACGAATACGTATTTACCAACAATTTCCGCACCATTATGGAGACCTGCGATTACCTTATATGCATTTGTCAATAGATGGGTACCAATACCCATCCTCTGACACGGTGGCATCACAAACAATTGCGTGATACGCGCTGTGATTCGATTCGGCGAAGTCGAATATTTGTAAATTGCGATAAATCCTACCGGATATACGCCTTTCATTCCCTCTTCGTTTCTTTCTTCATATCTACAACAAGAAAGAAACAAATTACTTCTGGAAATGGTTGTCTTGGTCGACTATTTGTTAGGAAAAGTAACAAAATATACAATCCACACGAGGTGCGTCGCCTATCATTGTATTTCAGCACTTTCATGCTACGACAAGAAATGATAAATTCATTGTAAAACACTTCAATTAAAACAGAATTTTTTAACAACCTAACATCAACCCCAATTAGAGAAACGTGTTAATAATTTATTAATAGTGCAAGAAACTAAATACAGCACATACTTATAAATTTCCAACGGGCCATTATGATCTACAGGCCAGGTGGCAACCGCCACCCGCTCTCCCGAGCCAGTGCGCCCCTGGTTATACACTGCCTTTTTTTGAGCCCCGAAATAAAAATTGTCTCAGATCGACCCGGAAAAAAATTTTCTTATAGAATGTGGCCTGTAGAATCCAAAATTTCAAACAGTTCCAAGATTGGGCTACTAGTTCAAAAGTTACAGTCCTTTGAATTTTTTTTCGAAATTGGTTTCTAGTCTATAACTTTTGATTGAGAAGTCTGATCGAAAAAGTACGAATTGTTTTGGATTCTACGCACCAAAATTAATAAGAAAAAGTGTTTTCCCGAGAAATTTTGGTGCAGTCAATTTTTGGTAAAAAAGGAAGGTTATACACTGCCTTTTTTTGAGCCCCGAAAAAAAAATTGTCTCAGATCGACCCGGAAAAAAATTTCTTATAGAATGTGGCCTGTAGAATCCATAATTTCAAACAGTTCCAAGATTGGGCTACTAGTTCAAAAGTTACAGCCTTTTGAATTTTTTTTCGAAATTGGTTTCTAGTCTATAACTTTTGATTGAGAAGTCTAATCGAAAAAGTACGAATTGTTTTGGATTCTACGCACCAAAATTAATAAGAAAAAGTGTTTTCCCGAGAAATTTTGGTGCAGTCGATTTTTGGTAAAAAAGGAAGGTTATACACTGCCTTTTTTTGAGCCCCGAAAAAAAATTGTCTCAGATCGACCCGAAAAAAAAATTTTCTTAGATAATAGGAAGGGAATAAGCAACGGGAGAAAAGCAATGTTTCAAGAAGTAAGCAATGATATTTAATGTAATTTTAAAAAAATTTAAGTTCGAGATGTTCAATATCCTATTTACAATCACAAAGCTAAGATTTTGTTTTACTTACCTTTTCATTTTTATTTTTCTCGTCTCCTTATTTAATATTTCTCAATTATAATAGTTATTTATTTTTATGTCACTATGATGTACAGGTTCTATTTTTAGCTGAAAAAGTTACTTTTTATTTTATGTTACTCCACTTATTTATGTGCATGGTGCATATGGAAGAGCAGCTTTTGCTGAATTTGTACCATGGGATTCCATGTAATTCATGGAATAAACATTTATTATTATTATTTATCTGGGAAGTTGAAGTTTTAGTCATTCTGCCGAAGGAAAAGAGATAGACTGGAAAGTAAATAAATGTGCAGGAGCATCGTATAAGTGATTGAGGCAAAAATCCATTTTTTTGATCATCAAAATATCCTGGATGTTAAACAAACAAAAGTGTACACACATGTGCGGACGATGATAGCGCATTTTCTTTAGCCACATGCCCGCGATTTTCCGGATTTATTTGCACTGTCCCGGATCCCATTCATGAAATCACTTCTTGGACATCAAGCAAACGTGTTCAGAGTATAATCAAGGCATAGCTAGAAATTTTGACACCTCATTTCCAGTGAAATTCACATGGTTATGAAAAACGCACCGAATTCACTTCCTAGGCACCAAAAGAATGCCTTTGGGCGTTTTCCCAACAAAATCAGAGTGCAAAATAAGGTTTTTATGAGCGAGAAATTGTATATATACATACACCTTAGCTTAAATGAACTACTACTGCTGTACACTTATAGGATAAAAAAACCCAAGTCAATATCCGGAAATTAAATCGCACATAGTAATTGAATTTCGCATCTCTGCCTCTTTCGCCGCATCTGAAGGCCTCGCGAGGGGGCATAGAAGGTTCAAAGAAAGTGTTTCTCACCTTACATTGTAAGCCTTCGTTTGACCAGTTCAACATCACATCCTATCATAAAAAGAGACAGATTAATTTGAAATGCGCTAAAAAAGAAACTATCTACTTTAAGGAAACACAGAAAGAAACCCAAAATAATCGCCACCATTGTGGGGACCATCGCCGAAGGCGGTCCGGTGGCTGTACACTGCCATGATTAGACCCATGCTCTGATATGGCGCAATTGTCTGATGGCCTAGAACCAGACTCTGGACAAGTCATGGAAGCCCTTCTGGATCTGCCTCTTAAAATTAAGGGATTGTTGAATAGCAGAGGTACTGAGGTGAGATGTTACATATAGGTATATATGACAAGATGGCACACCACATACTGACTTTGTGAATGTCCCCCTCTAGTCCAACTGAGACAATTCATGTTGGGGGTATTCTGGCATGACATATACAGGTTGAAATTGTATGTTACACTCGAATTTCTTTTAGGTAAATATAACTTAATGTGACAAATATAGCAAACGAGCTCCTGGGTCAATGAAAATTTAATCAGTTCTTTCTTGGGTGATGATAAACAAAACACTGAAAATAGAAATGGAAAATTCGAAACCGTTCGCGAGTTATCATGTACACAGACGGACGGACAGAAAGTCCAAAATCATTAATTCACTTTTAAGATTTTGTTAATAAGGGACATATGTAATGTTACATGAATGTTTAAATATTGAGCTAAGACTTATTCTGGCTTAATAAACCACTTGTTTTTGATATTATTCCAAACCCTAACAAATGAAAATTCTAGTCAATTTGCAATGGCCAAATTTGGACAAATAGCACCCATGTGTCAAATGGGCAGTATATTTGATACACACCCACATAAAAAAGACATAGTGTCAAACGGATTGCATTAATCAAAAATTACCTTCTGTGTCTTATGATACTTACACGTAAATGAAAAGCCAGTTGGGATCATCAACATCTATTTGTATCGGTTTCTTAAAAAACCAAATTGTCATAGACTGGAAACGTGTATGAAACTGCTTAAAATGACGTTCGTCATTTTCACAGCTTGTAAAAATGTAGTTGTAGGAATCATTATCAGTTGCTATAAAAGCAGATTCACCTAAATGTTAAATTGTCAACATACAACTTACGATTATAGATCTGTACTCTTTCCAACTCTGTGCCAAAGATTTTACTGCTGTGTCGCCTTTCCTTGTAGTGTTCTACAAAGAAAGGAAATCTTCTAGTCTTGACACCACGAGGCAGCCATGGTGTCAACTTTTCTAATATATTATCCGGTGCAGATTCGAAAGGGGGAGTGGCCTTACCTGTGTATTTTATTTCTACATAACATTTTGCGGAGTTTGCAAGATAATAAATATCTACATTTAGATTATGGTAACCGAATATTTCCCCTCTGAAAATATAAAACGGCTACAGTTGCAGAAAAGATCAAAGATCAACTCACCTGCTACCGAATATCTCTTCAAAAAACACTGGCTTGAAACTTCGCTTGCGTTTTACAGGAACGAAGCATTGTCGGTGATACACTAAAATTTAGTTAATTAATAGGACAAGTTTTGTTAGTGTAGTCTGACACGCGATAACTAGAAGAAGGTCATTTTAAATTATCTGTATTGCAACCACAGGCCTATAGATGAGGTTACACTGCGGAATACAAAACAAGAGTCCCGCCTTAGAAAACAAGAAAGGCAAATCTGGAGCAATGTACAATTTGAGAAACTACTTACTGATAACAATGGTAATCGCATCGAGGCAACGTGCAGTGTACCACCCTTCGGGGGCATCTAGTAGCCCGATATCTATTGCAGTTTCTGTAAATTTATCCACTGGTTCAGATGTACTCTGCTTTTCCGACTTCTACAATATACGAATTGAAATAAAACAACAATAGAATTCCAGATATGCAAGTGATCTAAAGAATCCGCAAAAGATTACAGACTATGAACTTTAAACAAGAGATTTCAACAAACAACGAAAAAGATGCTTACACGCAAGTTTCCAATTAAGGGCTTGGGTTGTGCAAAGGATAGTGTGAATTCTTTCTTGGACATTACTAGCTTAGAAAGCGCTGAGTGTGTTAATTTTATTACCACAATAACGACTACACTACACTTACAAAATCAATCAGAATACAACAAAATGGAGTCGTCGTTGCAAGGGTTGTTGCTAAGTCGTTGTTGCACAAATGTACATGGAAAATCTCAGTTGGCCGTGGGCTTGGCGGTAAAAATTTAAGTTAAGATCCTACTTTTTTCGGCGCTTGCGCACTAGTTGCCCACATTTTAAAAATGGCAAAGCCTTGTTTAACAAAAGTACCAGACAGGCATGTTCTATTAAATCGCCCTTCAATTCAAATATCTACAATAACTACCATTTATTTAATTTTGTGTACCCATAAATTTAAATAGAACCTAATATTCTGAGTCATGATTTGATTGGTGCATGTTTTACGTACTTGATGTGATTGGTGCATGTTTTACGTACTTGATGTGATTGGTGCATTTTAACAATTCGTGAATACTCGTTACGCGTTCGATAAGAATCGAATCAGGTTGACAGTGGCGTAGCATCCGATGAAAAATTAGGGTTAATGTAATTGAAACAAAATTTCCTTTGCTACTAACATTAAAAATGGAACAATTCCACTCGCAATATTACAAAATAGATAAAGGTAAAAATCTAAGATGAATTATTATAGTCGCCTTAGTAGTACCGGGGACACAAACCGCACGCACGTATACGTATAAAAAAGTTTAGTCAGTGCATGTTAGAAATGGGTTAAAATTCTGCTTGCCTTATTTTCGGCATTCAGGCCCATCGGTATATGAGAATCATACGTCTATGGGGCTATCAAAATATTAAATAAAAGGACAGACACTCGCGGTATTTTTAAAGACCCATTGAAAGTCGAAGCTGCTATTAATTTCATTTTGTTCTACGCCCTGCCGCTCGGTCATAGGGGGGAGGCACAGTCTAGAACTGTGGTGGGAGCCATGGACCATTAAATAGGGCGAAAGTTTGCAAGAACTCGAAGCCGATATATACCCCGGTTGATGAGATTGGCGTATTCTACGGCTCCAGAGAAAGCGTTATTATACAGCAGCTGGGGGTGCAGACGTTAATGGATGGAGTTCGCGAGGGGAAACACAGCAAGCTTTGAGACTTGCATGACGTGAGAAATCGGAGCAGCTTTGGCGCACATTCTGGAGCTTGATGCTTCAAAGAAAACGTCTCGTGATAGTGCTCGTATGACAGATGAAAATCTAGAAGAGTAATCGAGCAGCATTAGACAAAACGACGAGGGCTGCGATTTTAATGTGTTTGTGGAATTTGAGATTTACATCTATGGCTAAATCCTAAGTTTTTCGGTTCATCAAGCACTTTTAATTGTACTTACAACATTCATTTTAATGATAAATTGAGAATAAACTTTTATGCCAATACAAGGTCCTATATGTAGTGCTGCCGTCTGTAACGAAAATAAATGAGAGGTGCATACTCAACTATGGAAATATGAACATTTATTTTTAGAAAAATAGACTATGTTATACATCTCAACAAAATAACACACATTATATATTTACTTCAGTGTGGAAGAACAAAACAACGCACAAGAATTTCACAGTAGCTGCGATGTAGTAACTATGGAAACAGGAACATTTTACAAGACTAGAATCTTAAATACATGAAAAACTCAACAATATAGGTAAAACACATGTGGTGCATTCTGGAAGACATTTTCATGTTTTACCAGCAATACTTCATTTTTGGTCGATCACTGTAAATTAGGTTTAAAGAGTTTAGCATTAACTAAGGTGGCAGCCAATTGTATGTCAACCATATGTGCAGTAATAGTAGCATCTAATTTTGCATTAACTCCTTGTAAATTTTCGATCAACTTGCCATGATATGGATTGTTCTCTAGTTTCTCCTTCAAAATGCGAATACCCTTCTGCAATATAAAATAAATAATGTACAAACTAAGAGATTTAGATACCTACAGGACATCAATTTGAACATTTTCTTACATATAAGTATGTATTTACTTTATATAACCGATCGCTATTATTCAAATTACCACCCTGTACTATACAATTAATAAAATATTACCTTAAAAGGAATCTTCAAACGCCGAGTGATTTCTTTAACCATTAGTTTGTAGTTTCCATCGAGCATGTTACACTGGATGTATGCCAATCTTAGTATTTCATTAACACGTCTCACTCGGTGCTTACTAAATTTGTATGCCTTATTGGCTACTTCGTACATGATATTATTATAACCTTTGTGTATGTTTTCATAATTAAATTCCTCAAATTTCATCAATAGCTGACAGTCTAGAAAGTCTCTTAGATTTGAGAACGGCATATTTGGTTCTTTAACTGCAAAGGGAATGTAAATTTAGTTAACAATGTAGATATGCATTTACCAGTAACTTGCTCAACGTTATCGAAACCTGCAATTTCCTGATATGCATTTTTTAATAGGTGGGTACCAATACCCATTCTCTGGCATGGTGGCATCACAAATAATTGCGTGATTTCGATGGAAAAATATGGATTTTTATAAAATGTAATGAATCCTACCGGATTATGACCCTCCATTCCAATTTCATTTCTCTCTTCATATCTACAGCAATAAAAAAGGAACAAAATTCAGACTTCATTTTAAAAACATCATACAAGACACAGTCAATAAAGCAAATCACAGTAAACGGATAGGTACAAAGACAGACACACAATCCAATGCACTGTCTCGCCTTTAGTGTAGTAAATAATCTGTACTGATGTGTTAAGAACAGTGTGTAATTTATGTAAATGTTATAGTGTTGAACAAAAAGACTAATGTTATAATTAACAAAAAAAAAACTAAACAAAAAAATTACTCCTTGGCACACACTAGAATATTGACTACTCTATCAGGAGAGACAACCTATATCTATATAATGTTAACGCACATTGAAATATTAAGCCAAGTCATTCCAGCTTAACAAACGACTTGAGTTCTGACATATTTACTGCTATTCACATGAAAGAATCAGTAGCATGTCAAACTAATTGTGTTAGCACACCAATCTATCTTTAGTCACAACAAGTAATAAAACCGTCACATTACTGATTGGTTAAATCGTATTTTTCAGACGTACTTACCGAAGCTTCGACGGACAGATGTTTCACTGCTTTGATCAGAAGGGTATATCAAAACAACAAAAATTACAACCAGCACTTGGCGTGTGGTAGACAGGAAGGAGGACCCCAAGGGACAAACGTTTGATTGTCCTTAAGGACCAAGATGGTGACCACTTGCAACCATCGATCCTACGTGAACTTCACCACGCTCACATTCAAACTCCTCTCCAAGATGAAGGTGGAGATAGAGGAAATGACAAGCATGGCAGGAGTTCAAAGAGGCCACAGCAGTTGAGGGGTCCTCAGGGGAACCACAACCAACTGTGCCAACCACCGCACTTCAGTAGGTAAGCACGATTTTATTATATCCCATATGGTAAAATTAGTTGTCAGTTTGGCGTAGCGGTTAAAGACTCGGAGGTCTTCAGAGATTGTGAGTTCGAATCCCACAACTTGCCACCAACCACCGGAGTTAACAAACCAGTCAAATTAGTCTGGAACCACTTCTCAGAGGGAACAGTGGAGATTGGGTTTTGGTTCGACAGATAGTGAACCTAACCAAAGTTAGGTGGGCAGTGAAGACTTTCCATCAGTATAAATCCCCAGGGATGAATGGAATCTTTCCTGCTCTACTACAAGGCCTCGACCTGTTAGCCACACTGTAGCTGTAACTTTTGAACTAGTAGCCCAATCTTGGAACTGTTTGAAATTATGGATTCTACAGCCCACATTCTATAAGAAAATTTTTTTTCCGGGTCGATCTGAGGCAATTTTTTCTTCGGGGCTCAAAAAAAGGCTGTGATTAACCTTCCTTTATTACCAAAAATCGACTGCACCAAAATTTCTCGGGAAAACACTTTTTCTTATTAATTTGGGTGCGTAGAATCCAAATCAATTCGTACTTTTTCGATCAGACTTCTCAATCAAAAGTTATAGACTAGAAAAAAATTCAAAGGGCTGTAACTTTTGAACTAGTAGCCCAATCTTGGAACTGTGTGAAATTATGGATTCTACAGGCCACATTCTATAATAAAATTTTTTTTCTGGGTCGATCTGAGACAATTTTTCTTCGGGGCTCAAAAAAAGGCAGTGATTACAACCTTCCTTTTTTACCAAAAATCGACTGCACCAAAATTTCTCGAGAAAACACTTTTTCTTATTAATTTGGGTGCGTAGAATCCAAATCAATTTGTACTTTTTCGATCAGACTTCTCAATCAAAAGTTTTGTATTATACTATGGTTATAGAGTAGAAAAAAATTCAAACGGCTGTAACTTTTGAACTAGTAGCCCAATCTTGGAACTGTGTGAAATTATGGATTCTACAGGCCACATTCTATAATAAAATTTTTTTTCTGGGTCGATCTGAGACAATTTTTTCTTCGGGGCTCAAAAAAAGGCAGTGATTAACCTTCCTTTTTTACCAAAAATCGACTGCACCAAAATTTCTCGGGAAAACACTTTTTCTTATTAATTTGGGTGCGTAGAATCCAAATCAATTTGTACTTTTTCGATCAGACTTCTCAATCAAAAGTTATGGACTAGAAACAAATTCAAAGGGCTGTAACTTTTGAACTAGTAGCTCAATCTTGGAACTGTTTGAAATTATGGATTCCACAGGCCACATTCTATAAGAAAATTTTTTTCCGTGTTGATCCGAGACAATTTTGTCTTCGGGGCTCAAAAAAAGCAGTGATTAACCTTCCTTTTTTACCAAAAATCGATGTACGTTACTAAGGGCAAGTGTTGCCCTGGGATACATACCTATGGCGTGGAGGGATGTAAAAGTCATATTCAAACCGAAACCTGGGCGAGACTCATACGCCCCAGGAACCGACTGGGACCACCCCTAACAAAAATAATAATAAAAACGCTCTTCAGATACTTAAGTAGTTTTATAGTGATATTTGCACTTGAAGTTTGAAAAACTATTTGTGGCGAGCGTGTGCCGGCTTGTTCCGTAGTGAGCCCTAGCGCCCATCGCATTGGCGAAACGTACCGGCCAATGACAGCACACGACGCGAGTCGGAATCCTTTATAAGCGGCGTTCCTGCGAGCAGAGAGCAGTGGCATCCGCGCTTACTCTCATTGATCGTTATACGGCATGGCCAGAGGTTATTCCCCTTTCCGATATCACCGCTGAATCGGTCGCCAGAAAATTCATAAGCGAATGGGTTGCAAGATTCGGAATTCCCGAAAAGATTACGACGGACAGAGGCCGACAATTCGAATCTACCCTGTTCGCGGAAATCAACAGGATGCTAGGTATCAAACACCTTCGTACTACGGCTTACCACCCACAAGCTAATGGTAAGGTGGAACGCTTGCATCGAACCCTGAAAGCAGCCATCAAGTGCTACAGAACAGAGCGTTGGGTAGAAGTGTTACCAATTATACTCCTCGGTCTTCGTTCAGCACCTGCAGACGACTCTGGTTTCGCACCTGCCGCCCTCGTCTTTGGCACCGCACTCCGCCTTCCAGGAGAATTATTCGCAGGCAGCTCACAACGCACCGATAGCGACACTACCGATTTCGCCCAGCAACTTCGATCACACTTCGAGCAGTTTCGGCCATTCCAAGCTAGACTACACGGGCAACCCAAAATCTTCGTCCATCCGGAGCTACATTCTTGCTCTCACGTCTTCGTACGAAAAGAAGGCTTATTAAAATCGCTCCAACCGTTTTACGAGGGGCCATTTGCTGTTATCTCAAGACACGAGAAATTTTTCCATGTTGACCAAAACGGCCGCAAGGACAAAGTATCCATAGACCGCCTCAAGCCAGCATTTACTTCTAACAACGACGTGCAGCCTACATCACCTCATCATACACCCACGCCACCTCATAAACCTTCAGCTCCTCCAGAATCCCCGGCTGCGCCTCATCAAACAACGACGACTAAATCCGGACGACGCATCAGATTTCCTGGCAAGTTTGCCAATTTTCATACCGCTGCACTGGAGGGGGAGTAGTGTGGCGAGCGTGTGCCGGCTTGTTCCGTAGTGAGCCCTAGCGCCCATCGCATTGGCGAAACGTACCGGCCAATGACAGCACACGACGCGAGTCGGAATCCTTTATAAGCGGCGTTCCTGCGAGCACTATTATGATACTAGAATACAACAGGACGACCTTGAAGATTACAACTAAAGTACTAAAGAATAAGACTAGGAGGTATAAGTTTCTTTACGCATGCATCTGGACTGACGGCCGCATTTTTCACCACCCTTCTATTATAATATTTGCAAGACTTTTTGCACAATTAGTAAGCATAAGCAAAATCTGGAGTCGATGCATATATAGCCCAAAAGCAAAGCTTTATCGTACACAGACAGACACAGACAAAGGAAATTTGAGGATATAACCGTTCTCCACCATAATGGGTTGCATTAAAATTGGGTGGTAGAAGAGACCAAAACAAACATTTATTTCCCTTACTAAAGATTACCTTAAAGCAGAAATTTTGAGGCATAGGTAGCTCCCAAATGAAAGTTTTGGGCCCCTCAGAAAAACGTCTGTTTTGTCCTTCTATCACCCATTGTTTTTTACATACCTAATTATTACACCCTGGATACGGATGTGGTGTGAAGCGCTAAAAGACCAATATAATGAGTTTTCTATAATTAAATTTCGACGTTATTCTTAAAATAAAATTTAAGGGACACTTCAGTCGTCAATTAGTAAAGATATGTTCAAAAATGAATGCGATTTCTATTAGGTATTTTAAAGTATCTGCGGTATTCAGGTTTAGGGTAAACAAACAAACAATAAGTCTGATGGAACTAGTACTACGTCTTCGGAAGACAAGTCCTTTTTAAATGATCAAAGAGAGATCAGGGACAATTCTGTCTCCTTATCACCTGCTGTCTATGTTATTGTATGCCAATTTATTGTGGTTTACTCAAAATACAATTTGCATTACCCAAACTGCATTTTGAATTACACCTATATCTACTTCAGGATTCCTAAATTATTTCAATAATTACTTATAAATTATTTATTCTCATACTTACACATAAATGTAAAGCCAGTTTGGATCGTCAACTTCTATTAGCCTTGCCTTCTTAAAAAACCACACTGTCATGGATTGAAAACGGTCATGAAATTCCTTAAACTCAGTATCGACATTTCGGCAGCATGTAAAGGTATAGTTATAGGTGGCCCTATCAGTTGCTATAAATGCAAATTCACCAAATTGTTTAACTGCCAACTTATAACTTACGATTGTAGATCTGTACTCTTTCCATTGGTGTACCGAACATTTTATGAGTGCGCCTTTCTTTGCAGTACTCTATAAAGAAAGGGAATCTTCTAGTCTTGAAACCCCGAGGCAGCCATGGTGCCAACCTTTCCATTATATCATCTGGTTCAAGTTCAAAAGGAGGTGTTGTCATACCTGTGTATGTTAATTCTACATAACACACTGCAGAGTTTGCAAGATAATAAATATCCACACTTAGATTATGATAGCCGTAGATCTCCCCGCTGAAAAATTAAAACCACCATACAGTTTTAGACACAATTAATGCAAAAACTCACCCACTACCGAATACTTGTTGAACAAACTCTGGTTTGAAACTTCGTTTTCTTCTACCAGGAATGAAGGCATGTCGATTATACACTAAAATTAACGAATTTAAAATTGGAAACAAAGTCAATTGTTAGTGCAGTCGATAGGATGAATTAGGAAAGCAGCAGTTTATTTAAATAAAAATTTTAAATTATTAACATCTGTAGCCTATTATGATAGTTCTACTTACTGATAATAATAGTAATCACATTCCGGCAATGTGAGCGGTACCAGTCTCTTGGGGGATCTATTAGTCCGATATCGATGGCAGTTGCAGTGAATTTATCATAATTGTAGGTTACAATATTTGTATCGACCTCTGGTTCAGAGGTAGTGGGGACGGTCAATTCCGATTCACTCTGGAATAAGAATTGAGATAAGTAAAACAGCCATACCTATAAATGACCGATACTCAAGTGATCTAAAAGACAGGTAAAGAAAGATAGTAGTGAAAGGAATTTCAAAGTCCGGAAGTATTATAATAAGTAAAGAAAAACCAAAAGGTGCTTACAAGCAGGTTTCTTACTAGGAAGAAGGAGCGCTTGGACTCTGCAATGCATGATGTAGATTTTTCCGTGGACATCGCTAGCAGAAAAGGATTGAATAATGTTAATTTCATTTACTTAATATCAATGCGAACGCAAAGAAGCGATACTTACCAAAATAACTACTACAGTGATCGAATCAACAAAATACAACAAAATGGAGTCGCCGTTGCAAGTGTTATTGCTAACTTGATGTTGTTAAAAAAATAAGGGGATGCACACGGCATCTCCGATGGCCGTTGCCGGTAAAATTTAAGCTTAAATTTTCGGCGCATGCGCACTGGTTGCGCACGAAATTTTTGAACATGAATTGCAAGTGCCTTATCCAACAATGGTAAAAATTTTAATTTCTATTATTATTCCTTAATTTATATACCTAGAATAACTGTAAATGATTTAAATTTAGTTATCCGCAAATTTAAACAATACTCCTATTCTGAGCGACGATTTGATTGGTGCATTTTAACGATTCGTCTATGCTCGTTTTGTGCTCGACAACAATCGCATCAAAATTTCTCGTCTCTACTCGAACAGTGGCGTAGCATTTAATTAGCAATGCGATAAAACAAAACAAAATTGAACACATTCAAATTTTATAATATATATATGTAGATATTAGTATACCTAACACCCAGTGAACCAGAGGAGAACAGCGCATCCGGAGGAGTCTATAAATAGTCAAGACTAATAAACGTAGTTTCATTAATTAACATCATAATGCCGTCGATCGATGGGATCGGGTCGGCTAGTCATTTATAGCTATCAGAAGTGCTGATCCCATGGAACAATTGTTACCAAATCCAGACTTGCAGCCGCATGATAGCAATTCCATTGGTTAAACAATATCAAGAAATGGATAGGAGGCGCTTCATTGAAAGCGTAATTTCTTATTTTGTCGGTCAGGTACCCGTTAATCCTAGTACTACAGCGGAAATATTCGTTTGTAAAGTCACTATCTTCCGTACTGTACAACGTAAAATCTCGTAAGAATTTCAGGAAATTTTTCATCTGTTGGCAGACATATGGCAATTGAAATGTAATTGCACCATGAAATTCCTTGAATTTTTTTTCTGCAAGTTCTTGCGCGTTGTATTGCTCCATGTCAAGCCAGCTTTTAGCAGTTATATACACTGTTTCCAAGATATATCTGTCATGGGGATCTCTGAAACCATAGACCAATGAAAGAGTTACTATCGTGGTTTAAAGAAACCCAGAAAATTCTGATTACTTCCGAAGATATGCCAGAAAAACTGATGTTATTTGATTCTAATGTTATACAGATACAAAAAAAAAACACTCTCTAGAAGACACTGTCGAGAGATTTTCAATGCGAGTTTTCATTATCTGAATTACTTTTGTTTAGAAGGTGCAGTAGTTGTTACTGCATATGAACACAGACTGTAATTGGTATAGAATTATTTTATGAAGTGAACATTGAAAACTCCCGAACAGTTCTCAACTTGCTCAATAATTCACCTAAATATATTGGAGGTATTGACTACGTGTGTCAATCAGCATGTTTTAAAATGGACGAAATAAAAGGTAAAGGTTGATTGAATAAATCAGCGAAATACTTGCAAAAACCTTTTTAATAAACACAAAAAAATATATGGCCGGAACAAACGAATAATGCCAAGAACGACGACCCTTTAAAGCCTAGATAAACTACTACATTTAAGTATTGCAACTGCCAACTACTATAACGAAATAGAATTTGATTTTCAGTACTACACCTAAGTCATTGCTTACATTTGTACTTAAGGTTTTGGTAGTCACTAGAGAAACAGGATTAATACTGAATGCTTTTGTAAAGCAAAACACTAACTACTATAACTACAAATACATTTGGAATCAAATACGCAAACTAAGGAACGAGAAACAATATAAATAACAAAACAAAAAAATAATTCTCTGATTTCAGACTATGTTGCTTATCACTGTATATATTGACGAGATCATAGTAAATAATATAAATACTAGCAACAAACGCCTAGAACAAGCGGCGCACAATGTGGCTCTTTGGATTTACCACAGGTTGCTGCATTATTCTGGAACAGAAATATGTCACAAAAGAAGAAAATTAGTATTACAAGTCGCTTACTGCACTTCTCGCACAGGCATCTCTTGTAGAGGCACTCTCGGCGATGCCGGCAACTGGCCAACCTCCATCGGTTCGTGTAGCGGAGGAGGGAGATTTCCAAGAGGTTCAGGTACTAGAGCGCGTGCTGCACGTTGTTGTTCTCTCTGTGCCGCACGTTCCACAGCACGTTGAAGATTAACGAGGTGCATTGCAAGATCAGCCTCCCAGGTGGCCTAAAGGCAGGTAAATGAATGGTTATTCGCGTATCCGTTCAATTACATATTATAAAAGAAGCCCTCCCTCAAAATGGAATAAAAATTTCGATTTCGATTGTGGTTACTTACCATTATATTGATTCTATTGCCGTTTTCTCGTGCAATCATCACATTACGGACTAAGACATGTTGTAAAATTTCTCCTATTTGAGGACGGTTTTTATAATCTACCCGCATCATTTTTCGTAATAAAGATCTCAAGCGATTTGAGACCGCTGTAACAGATGTGTTCTTCTACGTTCTAACGGAATTTAAAAAAACTTACAGCGGTTGTGATAGCACGTAGGTTCTCGCCCTAAGCGTAGCAGTTCCCACACTGGACCACCTTTCGGTAAGTTCACGTCTGACAACGTCTCCATCATTAATAAACCGAAACTGAATATATCAGCTGCCTTTGTATAGATTTCTTGGCGTAGGACCTCCATGGCCACATACTTAGAATCGCCCTCTGATGGATCAGACGATACAACCTTATCATTTCTTAGCTAAAAGTGAAATCGTAGACATTTGAAAGTGATCATAACAAATACTTACGTCACGAGTGTCGACTAGCAGTCCGAAATCCCCCAACTTGCAAATACCAGTTTCCGTAATCATTATATTAGACGGTTTTATATCCAAATGAATTAGTCCGTGAGCATGCAGGTGCTGTAAGCCCAAAGCGATGTCTAGAAAAATTTCCATAGCGGGGCGCTCGGGAACGGAATAATGCACATTTAGAAAAGCCTCTAAACTAATCTTGCACAATTCCATTTGAATGTGAATGCGAAAGTCCTCTTCCCACGCATTGACAAGTTGGATGCAATGCTGATGGGGGGGAAATTTCAACATACGAGACGCTTCCCCTTTATGCACGACGGAACGTTTATCGTTGGTCACTTTCACAGCGTACTGATTGTGGTCGTCTCTAGACATTACCTTGTACACATTTCCAAAGCTACCGCGACCGATTTCAACTTTGGACGTAAACACTTGATCCATGTATTTTAAATCAGCATCTCTTCTATAGAGAGAACTTAGCACCACTACAAAAAAATCTAGCATTAATAAGATCAAAACTTATGATATGTTCTATTTAGAAATTTTGAGAATGTAACCAAATGAAAACTTTTGTTATTTGTTTTAGAGTGGAATTATTTTGTTATGAGCTCTTGCGCAGTAGCCCAAAGTTGCGACTTTCGGTTTTTAAATCTGGAATCAATTCCATTGGAAAAACGTTCAAACGCTTTGCCCCAATGAACAATACGTGCGCATGTTGACATGCTAACTCATAGGGTACACCTACAGAACTTCCATGCTAGTTCAAACTAGCAACACTTTTGGTCAAGATTGAAGACCTACACCACTTAGGGGGGTGCAGCTTCGACGAGAAAAAATTCACATCATATTCTTCATTTTTCTTTTTCCCCTATATTTGACCCCGAGTCCGAAAATGCCTGTTGCCAAAGTAAAATCTCAACTGGAAGTGAGATATTTAAAATGGGGGTAAGTTTTGAAGTAAAAGATTTTTTGCAGACGTGCACTGCATGCGTTTTCAAAAAATTTTACGCCCTTTCTTTTGAGTAAAATTTTTTTTCATCTCACTCCTTTACGACCACCCTTGACCATTGCAACAATTTGGGCAAAATTCTATTGAAAAAAATACAAAAAACCGTTGCAGGATTTTGATATTTTGCAAACTGCAAAAATTCGAGGCCCTGTAATCTTTTGAAACTTTGTGTCTCAAAAAAATACAAAATAAACTTTGTCAAAAAATCTTCCCTCATCCGCAAAAAATATCTTTAGACGTTGTTCTACAGAGTTGCAGTTATTATCACTACTACATCTACTCGTCCACTTCACCCCTATAAACCGAAAGTGCTAATGCCATGCCCACACGCTTAGCAATGACCACAACCTGCAAACCTTTATAAACACACAAACGTGCGGACGGATTGGCTACAAACTTACATGACTCAATCCACACGTTTGAATTCGTGAGGGCTTGATGGTAAGAGTGTGGACGCGGCATAAAAATAGAATTTCTTTTGTATGAAGTGAATACTCTTTGTTAAAGAAATTAGTTGTCTCGGGACCCGCAATTCCCTTTAACTTAATACGAGAACAAGGAAATCACGACAAAATTGCAAATCTTATACAGATGTGGAAAATTGTGAAATTTGTACACGATCAAAACAACTCACCATTTGGACTAGTAACCATTGCCACGGCCCCGACTGGAGCATTCGATCGTCTTCTATGCAACGAATGACGTACCTTAATAGGTATATCTTCGATTGAACATCTTGTACTTCTTGAAGCTTGCTTTATCCTCTGCTTCTGAAGTGGAGTTACTTAATAACAAGACAAAAAAAAGACGCTTACCTTTTTTGTCTTGATGAAAATGAGTTTATGCTTCTTCTGGAACTTACTCTTAGCCATATTTTTAAATAAAACTTATAAAACTCAACGAAATTAAAAAGAAAATGAATGAGACCTAAGACTACCAGCTACATTTAACACGAAGAACTAGACGCACAACATACCACAAGCACAAGTGGTATACAAGTGTAATCCCAAGGATTTTAACGGACTTTCACTACGCCAGTCATCCGAGTGACTAAACGACCCCACCAATTTTATCAAAATTGCCATAAAAAACTCTTGACAGGCAAATACACTGATGTCCCACTGTGTATTTAAATTGTAAAGACTTTTTAAACCCACGAAAATACGAGCTAAACGTCTTTTAAAACTTTTAGGACGTTCAGTTGACACACCGAGTACCTGTTGCTTCACAAAAAACCGTTACGTTTAAATTATAAATCGGAAATTCTGTTAAAAGATTTAATGATTTTTTCCCGACAAAACATCATTTCATTCTAAATGCTAATATTGTGCTTATAAGAGTCTTAAAAGCGATTGTAACTATTTTCTAAGTACAAATGAACAGTTAATAGCTACAACCGCCAAATTTGAAAACGTAAACAGCATTTACTTTGGTCAGTAGCGGCGTATACTGACCGAATGCAGGGGGTTACGTACATGAAGGAAAATTACACTTTCACTATCATATTATCGCTATTCGTTACCTTACCACCCCGTTTTGTAAACCCTTAGGCGCCTATACCGAATTAATATTCGTGAACGCCGTATGTAAAGTTGCCTAATTTCGATTGGCAAATGCAAAGAATGAATTTGTCTGATTCCATTACCAGTGTATAAATTATACAGTGATATTCATGTAGAAGTAGACATAGGGATTTCCTATGTCTACTTTTACATGATAAAAAGCGCAGAGTTGTATTTTACTTATATACAATTCTGTAATAAAGTCTCCTGAAAGACGCCTAATTTTATGCAACTAAAATAACTTCTTGAAACAAATCAAGATCTGGCTAACATATTAATTATTAATTTGAATATTGTTGCTTTAGCTCCACAGAAAATAAATCTCTTAAGCTCCTTTAACTGTTATCGGCACTATACCAATTGGAAATATCAACTTTTTCTTTAGTTTAATCAATGAACTTTGGTTGAATACATCGCACACCGAAATTAAGGTACCTTTACACTATAATATATTTCACATGATTTTTTATATGATATATTATATGATATTTACTACCAACATATTTTTCGAGTTTTAATGTTTTACTTTACACTTAACAGGTTTTTCATATGACTTTAATACAAGAAGTTACGAAACCTATATATATTCTCTAAATTAAAATGTTCCAAGTTCCAACATTGGGCTACTAGTTCAAAAGTTACCAGCCCTTTGAATTTTCTTTCGAAATTAGTTTCTAGTCTATAACTTTTGATTGAGAAGTCTGATTGAAAAAGTACGAATTGTTTTGGATTCTACGCACCAAAATTAATAAGAAAAAGTGTTTTCCCGAAAAATTTTGGTGTAGTCGATTTTTGGAAAAAAGGAAGGTTATACACTGCCTTTTTTTTGCACCGAAAAAAAAATTGTCTCAGATCGACCCGGGAAAAAATTTTTCATATAGAACGTGGCCTCTAGAATCCATAATTTCAAACAGTTCCAAGATTGGGCTACTAGTTCAAAAGTTACAATCCTTTGAATTTTCTTTCGAAATTGGTTTGTAGTCTATAACTTTTGATTGAGAAATCTGATCGAAAAAGTACGAATTGTTTTGGAGTTACTTTGGTTGCATAAAATTAGGCGTCTTTCAGGAGACTTTGTATCATGTAAAAGTAGACAGGAAATTCCTGTCTACTTCTACATGAATATCACTGTATTACTGTATATTTATACAATGCTATTACCTACCTCTAGTTATTCATTATTCAAATGTTTATGTTCTATTTAAACCATTATTCACTATATGTGTAAATTTTCCTATGTTGAACAAAATACAAACTCAAAACCAAATTTTGGAAACGGCAAAGTGAGCTTTTTGCCATCTATGAAGCTGTGCAAAATTTTCGACGCCATTTAGAAGCTCGTCCTTGCATAATATTACCAAACACTCTCATTTAAAAAGTAAAGGATATACTTTAAAGTATATTTCTCATAGCTCTGAATTTTTTGTTTTAAGGGTAGAAACAGTTTTATGGGAGTTAACTTGTGATTGTAGAAAAGAAAAGCACATCAAGTACACATAAAATATAATAAATTTTCAGAACACTAAATAAACATAAATAAAAATATTTCTAATAGCACAGTCAAATTATTCACGAATCCAAATAACATCTTATAGAATTACCACTTTATAATTAGTTCGACTGGACTATAACAACCAATTACGTAATACATCTCTGCAATTAAAAATAAAAGCATCCTACCGACAGAACACAAATTTACAGATAAAAATTGACGATATGTTTAATACTTTTAAATGCATCTACGCTAAAAAGAAACGTGTGGAAGTGTGTTGAATAATATAAACGTAACTTTTTAAGTATAGTTATACAAAACTTTATAAAAAATGCTATCGAGTCTATAGTTATACTGATTCAGAAGGGCTTTGGAATTCGGATAAAGCGTGAATGGGGTTCTGTACTTTCTTCTGCGAACCTTTGCGAACTTTGGCACGTACTTCCTCCGGTTTTTCAGGTCGAACAAGCGGCTTCTTCTCGGGAGCCTTCATTCGCCACACCACAATAGGAGACTGAAAAATATATTAAATTTAATAGTTTCAATTTATTCATTACAAAAAGTAGCCTAATTAAAACAACTCTTTCTCTGTGACTGTGATGGCAAGTAAATAGTTCGCGCTTAATGGAATTCTGCATTTCTTGTTTCCACATACAAAACCAATTGAAATTAATTGCACTAGTAATTCCTAAAAATCGAATTATGAATGCTACTATGACAAGAATTGTGCATTAGGTTTTGTTAACATATCCACAAATACGCATAATACCATAATTAAACGCAATGTGACAGCTCTGATCAGAAACTTAGGCTGACCCACTGTAAGTGAATAAAAAATTTAGCCCACATGTGGTTACTTATGGTAATGAGATTTTGTACTTACTTGTTGTTGCTATTCCAAAGCAGCAGGAAACAAAGGTCAATTATAAATGATATCATACAGAGATACTTACAGCAATGGTTCCTTGTCGAGGATACTTGGTTGACGCAACATACGATGCTTTAACTGTTAAAACTACAGCGTTCATTAAATTCTTAGCCGCCTGTATTAAAGATGTCGCACTATCCAACTACAACAAAGTGGTAATGAATTGCAACGTGAAAAATGAATATACATACTCCAGAAACGATCAGTTCACCGCTAATATTTTGAACGTCCGCTTTCACTTTCGATGTGATATTCATTTGATGGCAGTATAAAGCGATCCGTTGCAAATAAGCTATCAGATCCTTTTTGGTTGAACTTTCGGGGCACTGCTCGGCTATTTGTCTGGTTAGTTTGTCTAGCTTTGTGCCAGCCTCCGATATCTTTTTCGCTGCATTTATAACGTCCATTGTTGTTTTAAGAGGGCCTCGACCACTGCGAATAATATTTAAATTAATGTCCAGATTAAAGTCTTCATTTATTTACAAATTTCATCAGAAAAACGGCAAAACACATTAATTTCATGGGAGAAACTAAATTTTCTGGGAAAAATGGCGCAACAAAAAATAAAACAAAAGGTAATCCATTGACATTTACACCATGTAATAGGATAGCATGTACCAATAGCAGTTAAAACAAGCTACGATTTTCAGTAGGGGGAATTTTTTCCCGAACATTGGCATACATTTCAATAAATAAAACTAAATAAATTGCGAGGAACCTGAAGCAAGGGTTTGTTCTGGATTTAAATTCGCAACCATCTGTCAAATAGTAACCAAATTTTTATCTGGCGATACAATTTTCAACGTACAAAGGAAAAAATCAGCTGTCAATGGGAGAACAGGAATCTAATGTTCCTGAAAAGGTCGATTTACGCGAATGAGTTGGTAACTTTTAGGTTATGTAGTATATGACATTTTACGTTATGTTCAAAATGTTCCAAAAATATTCAGATATTCCAATAACCACAATCAATTACAAATAATTATTTGGTAAATGGCGATCCATATTTATCGTAATTTCTGTCAAACATCATTCTAATGTCATAATTTCAAGTTTCACTTGAAGTCAATATACATAATTTATTTGAATTTACTTACTGCACGCTCATGAAAATATAGAAATTGCACATGAGCAGCAAAGGTACTGGACTTACCGGGTAAAGTCAGTCATTTCCATCATAATCATACACATATGTTTCGCCAAAACGATAATATCGTTCCCTGTATCGTCCCATTTCGCAACCTCACGATCGAACTTCATTTTCTCACTTCGGAAATACTCGACCTGCTGCAGGATTTTCTGTTTATCTTCTTCTGGCATTTTACCCATAGCTTCCTAGAAATGAAGGTTTAATTACGGGCTACCGTTACGCGGAGAATATGATGACGTACTCTAGCAGTTGTAATTCCGCTGATATCCGGATATTCATCAATGCCGTGTTCTCCTGTATGCGCGCTCGCTGAAATGAAATTAAAATAAAATCGGGATATACAGTGTGTTCCAACTAAAACTGGTACTAATTCGGAAGTTATCCAATTGGTGAAATACCAAATATGAAGCATTTTTTTTCATGACTTCTCTTGTTTACTAAGAGGAGTGTCTGAATTTCCTTTTCTTTAAAAAAATGATGTTTTGATGATACCCCCAAACCCAAAAAAAAAAAAATTTTATATTTAGTAATTTAACCAACTCCATAGTGTCAGCTTTAGTTGGAACACACTGTTTGTAAATTTGTGGCAAGCATACATTTACTTCTTGTCTCCAATGTGTAATTCTCATCCAGTTCAACGTCCTCAGGATCTAGGTCTTCGTCTGCCTGCAACAAGTATCGTTATTACTAGGTCAGTGTCAAGTTTTAAAATTTACTCTGTTCATAAGAACGGCACGACGTATTTCGCGCACACCATCGTAGACCAATCTAGAGGCATCGATAAAATCATTCTCATCGACCTCCTTTGTGGGATTACTAGACAATGCAGAAACCGCAACTGCAACACGTTGACCAAACTTCGGCATGACCTGCTCATTTAAAACTTTGACAGCTTCTAACACACGTTTGGTGTAAATGCACGGTTCATAATTATCCATTTCGGCAGTCACAACATTGCAAACACGAGTTGAGCGTCCGCGAATTCCGCTAGCCGTACGATCCAACGTATCCGCATCGCCTTCTTGAAGAGCCAAAACACACTTATTGACATCTTCGAGGATGTGGTTTTCGGACACGGCAAGAAAATCGTCGATAGTGGTAATGTCATCGACGGCTTCTGTTAAAATTCGAACTTGATTCTCCCACGACTTTTTGAAAGCGTCCATATTTGCTTGGGCGACCTTACTGCGTGGTCGAGCTGCTAAAATTCTCGCCGCGTTAATTACTTCAGGACACAGGCTCTCGATTTGAGATGCCGCATATCGGACCATCTTAACTCCGTCTTCATTATTCGACATACTACAAACTAAGTTAGCCACCTTAAAACAAATATTGATGACTCTTTTCACGCGGTAAATTCAGTTACCTCTACTAATTTATTGGAATGCTCTGTAAATATAAGCGCGTATTCTTCTACTTCCTTTTCGTTACCATTCTCAGCTGCCTTTATGAGAACGAGCAGTGGAACGTTAGTATCCATAAAACTAAAACATTTACAGTGTTTTAGCGTAAATATTCAAACAACGTAGCATAATCGCCCAGTATTTCATAGCACAGTAATGCCACAATGTTACATCGATTGGCTAAAGTGACCAAATTACCTTTAGCATGTCCTGTATATAATTATTCACCTGACCCTGTATATATTGAAATTAGAATATAGTCCAGGCTATATAATATTTTTGTATGAAAAAAATTAGTTACGGAGCGAAACCGGGTTTTTCAGGCAGGTGGAATGAATAGAATTTGAGCAAAAATAATTAAAACAGCTGAATTTTTCCGCGGGTGAAATCACGGGGGTTGAAAGGGGTGGAAAGTGGTATTTTGCAAATTGTGGTAAAACTATTGATTTTAGACGAAAATGTTAAATGTAAAAGTTATAGAGATTAAAAAAATGAGCAACTTTTGTATCTGCACTATTTTCACATAACCTCCAATTTTCCTAGAAAAACCGGAAAAACTGTTTTTTTCGTTTTTTATTCTTATTTTTGCGAAAAAATGTCGTAGAGGTTTGAAATTTGGAGGTAACATAGCCTGTTTTAGGATAAAACAGAAGATAATTGTTTGGGCCCATAAAGTTGAACCGTTTCCAAGATCTCACGATTTCTGAAAAAATCACCTCTTTTTCAAGGGGATGAAAAATCTATTTTTTTTCATTGTACAGAGGTGCGCGGGGTAGCAAAATTTTCAGGAAGACTTATATTTTAATAAACAACAATTAAAAAAATATTATTCCTATACCAAAAATTCCCGAAAATCGCCAAAAACCGGAAAAACAGTTTTAAGATATACACGGTTTTTGACATGATAAATCAACATGTTGGATGTTAATAAAGATTTTTTCGAAATCTGTCTTCTTCCTTCTCTTTAATGTTTGCCTAAATATTCTCTTTTGTTATCTTATACTCAACTGTTTTAGTTAAAACATCTTTATTATTTCTTTTTTCTGCATTTTTACCGCAATAAAAGCAATTCGAAATAAAATCCAATTATGTATCTTGCTTCCTGATTCTTGAACAATTTATTTTTGTTCACTGACTCTTCTTCCTGCTTGTTTTATAGCTGATGCAATTGCGTTGGGCCTGTTAATAAACTTGCAAAATCTGCAATAAGAACGTTGGTTTTACTGGCCAAAAGCAAATGATTTGAGATGTCAAACCTGCAGGAATAAACTTTATGAGGATTTTATTCATAATTGCTGTAAATTAACGATCAACAGAGCCAGCTTAATCCCATCACCTGTAAAACAGGCAGGAAGAAAAGTTAGTGAACAAAAACATATTGTTCAGGAAGCAAAAGAATTCGATTTTACTTCAAATTACTTTTATTGCGGTAAAAATGCAGAAAAAAGAAGCAATAAAGATGTTTTAAGTAAGGCAGTTGGGCACTGGGAACAAAAGAAAATATTTTAGCAACATTAAAGAGGAGAAAGAAGACAGATTTCCAAAACTTTTTATTACCGCGGATCCAACACGTTAATTTATTTGCAAAAAAACCTGCAAAAAACTGTTTTTGCCGCTTTTCTTGAAATTTTTCTATTGGAATAATATTTTTTATTTTTGATTATTAAAATGTAAGTCGTTACGAAAATTTTGCTACCCCGCGCACCTCTGTACGATGAAAAAAAATAGATTTTTCATCCCCTTGAAAAAGAGGTGTTTTTTTACAGAAATCGTGATATCTTGGAAACGGTTCAACTTTACGGGCCCAAACAATTATCTTCTGTTTTATCATAAAACAAGCTATGTTACCTCCAAATTTCAAACCCCTACGACATTTTTTCGCAAAAATAAGAATAAAAAACGAAAAGAACAGTTTTTCCGGTTTGGCTAGGAAAATTTGAGGTTATGTGAAAATAGTGTAGATACAAAAGTTGCTCATTTTTTTAATCTCTATAACTTTTACATTTAACATTTTCGTCTAAAATCAATAGTTTTGCCACAATTTGCAAAATACCACTTTCCACCCATTTCAACTCCCGTAATTTCACCCGCGGAAAAATTCAGCTGTTTTAATTATTTTTTCTCAATTTCTATTCATTTCACCTGCCTGAAAAATCCGGTTTCGCCCGGTAACTAATTTTTTTTGAAAATAAATCATTTTAGAGCTATTTAGCCTGGACTAATAAGGCTGCATATGCGCATTTGTCAAAAAAAAATCGAAGAAGAATACAAAGTGTCGTTATTCACCCATCGATAATGAGCGTGTCTGTTAAAAAGTAGCATGCCATTTTCGGCAAACGATGTGAAAGCTTTCGTCGACGCCAATCATCGCCTTTGTTGTTTCACCAGCCAGCAATCTACGTTATAACTACCAAAAAAAAAGGTAACCATCTTCTCAGAAGACGTACTTCAAAACAACAGCAAGTAACTCACATTTCTTTCGTAATTATTCCAATTTCTAATAGATGTGCAGTATCGATCACCAAATCAAGATTAGAATCAATTTACTTTATTTGTATTTTTAATCAATAAACACGTTAATCACTAATGTCAATATTCTTTCAACATCCCTCTCGAAATATGCAACAGTATATGTAAATTCTTACCATTTACGTCTGAAACTTCCTATCTCCCTGGTAAAAAATAAACAATGTGAAATATTCTGTTGAAGAAGCCCTAGGGAATAGTAGCACAAAACTAAATCATTCCGGGCTGCACCAGAAGTAATCCAAGCAACTAATTTTAAGAAAGGTCCAAGACTGAAGATAGTACATAATGGTGAAAAGCTTTACCAAATAGTACCCATATACTCAAACACATATATACTCATCAGTTCTAACCATTTTCTGAGGAGTAGTGGCACAAATCTGTACGAAATCTCTGTAGCAATTACGCTAGCACTTCACTTACCTGTCTGAAACGTGATCAACAACAGCTTTTCTTAACTGCCGACGTAAATCTCGCGTCTTTCTGCCCATTTGATCAATTGCGCGTCCTAAACCATCACTTTGCTCTTTATTTCCCATCTGCGAACATAAAAACATATGACTCATTCGCTAGCGATAGTAAGGAAAAGAAAGCACAAGCCAATCATTGAAGGTTAGGTAAGAAAACCAAATTGGAAAAATTATCGCATGCATTAAAATGTACGAATAAATAATGAAGTTTAATTACATCAAAAGATTGCCCATTACTTATTTATCCTTTCAGAAATAATGCCAGATGATTGAAAGACATTAAAATCACACATAGAAGATTGTTGTAGGTAGGTGATACACTAAGTAATTGAATTTCAAATTGTGATTTTGTACTATATTACTCCACCTTTTTTTGGATTTACTGATACAATAAGTAATAATCTATTAGTTTAGAATTATTGTACAAAATTACAAATTGGCACTGTTATTCTAACAAGAATTCAAACGATCAGTTCTTTTGTTAGCTAGGTTAATAAACTTAAAGAATTCGCCTCTGATTTTGTACAGTTATAGAGAATAGAGTAGTCAAATTCTAACTCTTAGTAGTGCAATTAAGAGTTTTAGTCGTAGCAAGTAGCCGATTTCAGTACCATGCTCTTTTTAGTAGAAAACTGTAAGTGCATGTAAATGTCTGAAATGGACCAGAAAGTGCACATAGACACATACATTTATAGAATATTTACCCTGATCCCTCCCCGTAATACTTGCAACTGCTAGTTACAAAACAAAGTATCAGCATAACGAACAATTTTAAAGAAATAATAAATCTACAACTAACTTTAATTGGACATGTTGTAATTTAAAAAAAAAGGAAATAATAGTACGTACATTAGCCATGTATTCGGATAAGAGCTCCTGCAGCGCTTGACGAACGGCGTTGCATTCGGCCACGATTCGTTCACGGCGCTCATCACGAGTACAACTGGAATCGGCCATCAAAGCTGCGCCACTAATAATACTTTCCAAACGTTCTTCTAAGGACGGTCTGGTATGGACTTCATTGTAGGCTAACGGTTCCATTTGCATGTGATCCTTAAAAGTACAATCAAAATTAACAGTCGCAAATTAGCATAAATGGAATTTATTTTCAATTTAGTAATGATTGTTTAACTTTTTTATTTTCGGGCGTTAGTTTTAACAAGTAAAAAGGTTTTCGCCCTTCAGTGCAATTTCCATGAATGATCAGTACTTCCCAAAAGGCCATACCTATCTACGCTGTGATTTTCTTTACTAGAGGCATATATGGTTAAAATTTCAAAGAAATATCTTCATAAACAAACAAGGTAGCGTTGCGCATGAGCACATTTAATTTATGCTATAGGTATGGGATGTTTGTTTTACTAGAAGCGTTTATGGTTAAATTTTAGAGAGAGATTTTCATAAGTAAAAAAATTTTCAGGCTGCGCATGCGTGTATTTGATATGTGATATGTTTTTCTTTACTAGAAGCATCTATGGTTAACATTTCAAAGAAATATCTTGATAAATAAAGAAGTTGGCACTGACTGCGCATGCGCACATCTAATTTTTGCAATATCAGTTATGTTTGTCTTTAACAGAAGCATCTGTGATTCAAATGTCAAAAAGATATCTCCATAAATAACATCATATTGCGCATCCTGCGCATTAATCTGATGTTTACAATATGCGATACGTTTGCTTACACTAAAAGCAACTTTGGTTAAAATTTCAAAGAAATATCTCCATAAATAAGTAAGTTGCCATTTCGCAGTTTGCGCATGCGCACAACTGATTTTTACTATATGCTATATATTTGCTTCACCGGAAGTATCTGTGGTTAACATTTCAACAAAATACATTAATAAATAAGGCATTTGACATTGCGCAGGCGCATGCGCAGTTTAATTGACAGTCAAAGTATCTGTATACTAACAATAAAGTCCGAACCACCTGGTTTTTTTCAAAAACAATTTTTTTCAATTTGGTGTAACTTACATCAAAATCATCTAAAGCAGCAGCGAGTTCGCCGGGTCCATCATAAGGAGTTTGTGACGGTTGTGGTGTACGGCCTTGAGCGACGTCGCTAATCGTATTGACGGCCTCGCAAACTTGTTTCAGAATGTAATCCCGATTGGCCTTCGCGGCCGCTAGTTCTGGATGACGAACGTACACCTTCGACGCGGTTAGTAGCATAGTGGAATGTTTTTTTAGTACGGCTCGAGCAGCCGCTAAATCGTCGCGCAATTGGGGATCTTTCAGTTCTTGTTGTCGTTTAGCTGCCTGATTCATTAGCTCGTTAGCATTATGCGCAAATGCCTTTATGTTATCCTCCAACTCCCCTTGACTAGAAGCGTTTCGTAATTTTTCAATGTCGTCTTCTACAACTCGCAACGATTTAAGAAGTAGGTGAACGTCGACCATGTCGGCCAAAATTAATAAGCGGGTCACTGCTGATAGCAAATTACGCGCAGCTCGCACCATGTTACCCCGTTTCAGAGAGGAACAAGGATCTTCTGAAAATTCACGAGCCGCAATGCTCATTGCGTTACCTACGGAAACTTAAATGGAAACATGTCAAATTTACTAACTACACTTACCGGTTTTTCTGACCTCGTCGACTGCTGCGAGCATTTCTTGAGTTATATCAGGATTTTCGTAGGCGATTTGTTCCCCCTTCTCGATGAAGTTTTCTGTAGCTTTCTCGACTGTACTGACAAGTGCGTTAGCTCTTTTCGATTTCCCTTTTTTTTTCTTACTTGGACCTTTCGTATTGACAAGGGTCGTAACTTGTAATACCAAGGGTTCCAGTGTTTTTTCAACGGACATTGTGCGAATTTCTAAGTTCTTTGGATCCCATTTTAATCCAAAATGGTCCGTCATAGCGACTTTCAGCTGCAAATTATGTATTAATGGAATTGTTAGTGTAAAAGACTACGTACCATTTTGATTTATCTCTTCCAATTTCGATTTTTTAAGCCAAAATGCTGTAAGTTTTTGTTTTCTATGACTTTTCACCCTAATCTATGATTCATACCATTCATCAAACAAACGTTTACGTTAACCACTCCCACTCCCACTTTTGTGTGACAAATTCTTAGGGCAAGTTTACACACAACACACCTTGTGTGAACACGAACAGAATCGAACGTTATCGAAGGACAACGGCTCTTTATTACGAACCAAAGCGACCTCTAGATTACCAATATTATTGCACTTGCACAATCTTTTTTAGTATGCAATATTATTAACAGTGAGTGACTAGAAAGTTTCCTCTCCGTTAACCTGGAAAAGTCTGAAAGGTTGTTCCATTTACGAATAGAAAGAGGACGAGCCTTGATGGCTTTACTCTTTAAAGACGTCAACTGGGTGTGACCAAATCAGTGAAATATTTGGGAGACATCATGGACACTTGTCTGACCTGGAAAGGACACATTTAGCGAATAAGCAAAAAAGGCTACTGCGTGTCTATGGAAATGTAGAAGGACTTTTGGTTGTTGTACATGGGGCTTGAACTCTCTACTGGTATATTAGCTTTACTGCACTGGGCCAAATAATACTGTACGGTGCACTTATATGGTGGCCTGCCATGCGCAGAGCAACCTATAGGAAGCAGGTAGGAAAGGCGTTCAGAAACTCACCTCTTTGGGAGTCACTGGAGCCATGAAAACGACGCGAATTTTAGCTATGGAGGCACTCTTGAGGATCAGAAAAGGCTTCCATACGGCTAAGATTGGGCCGAGTGATAGGATCAAGGTAGCCTTAAGCACGGGCAAATCTGGGAGGAAACCCTTCAGATCCAATCCCCTCCTCATAAGAAGGGATGTGATCCAGGCTGTCTTACTAAGACCGAAGAGTTATAAGGTCACTCTCCATAACAGGGAGCAGTGGCTGAACTCAGATAATAATCTCTAGTCAGTAGTTTATTAGTGCAATTGTCAACTTGTCCCCTCATTTCCACCTTTCCCTATCCGTTTCGAGAAAGATCCCAGCAATGACAAAAAGGGTAAGTTGATAATAATTTATTTTATTTTTGCTTTGTTAATTTCAAATATACAGTCCATTATTTAGAAACATTTGGTCCTTCAAGCCGGATTCTGATTAGGAGTTGCTCCCTCCATTGTCAGGGCCAGGATTAAAGATCAGCCAATTCCAGGCTCAGTGGCAAATCTGGCTCTTCTAGGTTTCTAAAACTGAATGTTAGAGGTCAGATTAGGAAGATCACCTGTGTCCTTACGGGGTCAAATTCAATCACCCCACAGGGTCACACCACTTTGTCCTTTACGCGCAGTTTATGACAGATACAGACGTTTTCATAGCGCCAACGCATTCACATAATACACAAAATTATCTGGAGTCTGCTTGGCAGTGGCGTTAGACATGAATGTCTGCTTTGGCGTGATAAAGCCATAGTTCATTAGACACCCGTCTCCGCCCTCGCAGCGAATGTGTCAACAGATGTTTGAAACAAAAAATTTTTTAAATGGCAACTATCTCAGCGTTTCCGATTTAATAAAACTCGCGACGTTCTATTAGCAGTGTACTTAAACCATGGTTATGCAAAAAAGAAACTTTATTTCGATCAATATATTAAACGATGTTCATGTGACACTTTTTGGTTAATCAGTAAATATACTCAAAAAAGCGTAACTCTTTAAAAAAGTATGAAATCTGTATAGTACATAGAAAATAATTTTAGCAGTTTCAAAAACTGGCCCTTCAAAAGTATAGTATGAAGAATTACTTAGGAAAGTTGTAGAAATTAATACGACAATGCACTAACGTGGTTATTACTATGGCTTGGTAACGATTTCGAGTTTCTTCAATCGACACGAATTCAAAAAAAAACGTGACGTTCAACCAGGCCACAGTCGCCACATAAAAACGGTTGTTTTAATTAGATTCACAACTGATCGGTTACGGTTTTTGCGCAACGTTTTCAATTGCAAATGACGAGCATAGTTCTCTATCACATATAAATATTACTAGCTATGAACTTTTTAAAAAATGTGCATTTTTAAACTACATTCCCTAATTTGTTTTAAGTACATCTTTTAACAACACCTTCAAATGAAATCAAATTAGTTTAATAATTAAAAACCACACCGCACCTTACATTGGGGGAAGGGGTGAAACAAATTGTACTACAATTTCGTTAGATCTGATGACGTCCTACAAGCACGAGACGATAACAATGTATAACTTAAAACAGAGCTAGGACGAGCGTTCTAAAAAAACCGCTCGAGCGATGAGAGCTCTAATTGTCTCAAAAATGCGGCTTTTTCCGCTTGGAGCGCTTTTTTGAGCGAGCATTACCCAGCTCCGACTTAAAATGATGAATACATGAAGACATGTACACAAGTTTAAACCTAATTGTGATTGGAAGATAAACAATAATTACATTATGTGCATTTCACTTCACACAATATTCATTCGAAACAGTCAATACCTAATTACACACTGCATTACACTTGGTTTCACAACGCCGTCATTTGTTTTAATGTCTGCAATTTTACTTTGACATCCCTGAAAGTGGGCCGATTATCCGGATTTAGATCCCACGCCTGTCGCATAATTTCATAAACTTCAGGAGGACAACCTTCCGGCGCTTCCATCTTGTAACCCTTCTCGACGTGCTTCACAACATCGGCCAGCGGCTGCAAATAATTAAATGATTCTGATCAAACTCTCTTAAATTCTGTGGATTTCACACATTTTAAAGTTGCTACCCTCCCTATAGGCCAGCCCATCGAGTGATTGTTAATTGTGGATTTATAAGCACAAAGGTGTGGGGATTAAAAAAAATTTAGCTATAACCTTTTTCGTAAGTGGTGCAGAAAAAATTCCTTCCTAACGTGGTAAAGTAATAAAAGCAATAGCTGTTAAGATAAAGATCTAGTAGTCACAGGGATGGACAGACGGACGGACACAGTGGCCATAATAACGCATTTTTTATTTTTGTGGAAATGCTATAACTGTGAATTGGAATGCTGCAAAAGTTGCCAGCCGGCTTTCAGGGTAATGCAACTACAGGATACCTGGTTTCAACAAGACGCTGCCACTGCACACACACCGGGCATTAACATGAATTTTTTGAGGCACATGATGGGAGACCTCAACTGGCCCACACGCTCACTGGATTTCCAAGTCATGTTAGAAGGCGCTATTATAACCACTTTCTACGTCCGTCAAAGGCCTTAAGTCTAGGGGGAAACAAGTACCATTTTTGGTGTACACCAAAAATTCAAATTCAAATTAAATCACGTTAATTCAAATTAATTCATGTTAACTCAAATTAATTCAAGTTAACTCAAATTAATTCACATTGATTCGAACTAATTCACATTAATTTACGTTAATTCACATTAATTCACGTAAATTCAAATTAATTCAAAGGGGGCTACACCAAAAATTCAAAGTTGTTTCCCCCTTTTCTTAACTACTCTCACGGTAAAATAAACACAATAAGCGAAACTTACTATTCTGGGATAGGGAACTCGACCAAAGGAATAAATTTCCCACAGTAAAATTCCGAAACTCCACATATCAGACTTATTTGAAAATTTCTAAAAAAATCTCTCATTAGCTGTAAGCTAGCAAAATAATTGTTGAATACATTTAATTTTAGCGCTTCCGGTGCGGTCCACTTGATTGGTAACTTAGCCGATTCCAACGACGTATTTTTTTCATTTCTCGCCAAGCCGAAATCTGACACCTTCGCGATGCCATTTTCGGCAATGAGCACGTTACGAGCCGCCAAGTCTCTATGCACCACGTGCATTCTTTCCAAATATTCCATACCGGCGCTAGTGTCGAACGCGAAGTTAATTTGATCCCGTTTCGTCACGTGCAATCGGCCTCGGGATCTTAAGTAATCGACTAGACTACCCTTACTCATATATTCCGTTACCAGTAGAACCTGATCTTTTCTCCGTACGACGCCTAATAAATTCACCAAATTTTCGTGGTGTAGAGATCTAATAAGAAATGCAGTATTATCGTATTTACTTTTTCTCAGGCCATGCAACTTACTTCATAAGAATCGCTTCGGCCTCACTCGAATCTTTCAACACTTTAACCGCCACCCGCTGTTTCTTCCATTTACCCAACATTACTTCACCGAATTCACCTTTTCCAATAGGCTCACAAATCTGAAAGTACAAACTTTTAACGAACATCAAGGACTAAGAATAGTCAACAATTTTTTTTAAACAATTTTAAACCACCTTAAGATTGATCTTGCGCGTATTAGTAGACATGTCGCTTGGGTACAACCTACATTGGGAAAATGGCAACTTTTAATTAAAGGCAAAAGTCTTGAACAAACCTCAAGAGGAGATTTTCGGAGCCCTTTAAGAGACTTTATTGATCTTTAAGAGTAAACAAGAACCAAATGTTTTCAGTCTCGTTTTTAATAACCTCCACAGCTGTTTAGATCTTCTAACTGGTCTTTTCAGAGTTTTTTTAAAAACCCTTAAGAGCCTTAGAAAAAATGTAAGAACATTTTTGAGTTGAGCCTTTAAAGGTATTTATTAATCTTTGAGCTTATAAAAGTTTCCTCAGCTCGGATAATAGCGCCTAAGATGTACATGTCTGATATGTACGATCATTGACAAAAGTATTGATTGCCTAATAGGTAAACTCTGCAACCAACGTGCCAATCACATTGGACTCCGTCGGTGTCTGAATTTGTTAGCTTCTCCCTTGGCCAGCATAGGCGTAGAGGTTACCGTAATAAGCATACAGTAGCGGCCAAAAGTTTATCACAATTTGATTTATAACACTAGCATTTACTACGGTTGACAATAAAATATTAATGTTATTTAGCGTGCTATGAAAAACAACTCGAGTCAGTCAGCCACTATTTGTTGTAGGAATGTTTCATTTTTTTAAAATTGTTTATTAACATCTGATAATTCTATAGTAATACCAATTAAAAAATTTGTGGAAGAAGTCTCACTCTCCCTGTTCTAACAAAATTTTAAGTTGGTTGGTACCACTGAACTTCACAGTAAAATAAAACATGTTCTACTTTCGTGATGAAATTCGTGAATTAATTCAAGAATAAACTGACAAAAAATGTAATGCTAGCTTACCAAGGTGATAACATACCTCAAGCTCATTCTCCGATATAACAAATAAATCATTATCGTGCGAATCAGGAACAATCTCCATGGGCGGACTTTTGAAATTCGTCTCCTTCGGTAAACATTTCACCAATTTTGTACATAAACCGTCTGCGTCTATCTCGTAATGTTCGATTAGCTTTTCTAAATCTTCGAAGAATTCCTCGTCATCGATCGTAAGATTTCTGTCATGATATTTAACTCTATAATGCTCTACTTTGTTTTGAAAACAAACGCATAACGTATAGTCACCGGGAAAATTGGTGCTCTCTCTGACAAGAAACAAACCATCCGTTCTCGGTTGTAATAACTGCTCCGCTTGTTCGCGAGATATTTTCCCGTGAAACCACCTTAAAATTATGTCTCAATACTACCTCCAATGTGATGTTTACTTACGGCATTTGGTTCCATTTTAAATCTATTCGGTTAATGGGGCTTTGTACTCTGTTTACGTTAACATCGTGTGCATTGTTACCTAAATTATTCTTTACATTTCCCTCCGCACTTATATTCATATTGTTTTGGGGTCTTAAGAATAGGGTACACTCATGTATAAAGTTGCTATTCGGATGTCGTACTTGATCAGAGGTGGAATTAACCTGAAAAATACCTCCTGTATATTGCACATTGACAATATGTAAGCGTATTTGAAACGAAGTCATCTCTTTAACTTTTAAAGGTACACTAAACAATATGAAGCAATTAACAAGTCATTACTGCCATGAAATTTGCCCCCAAGTCAAATTCACTAATGTACTAAAAAGAAAGTGAGCATACCCAACCATCCGGTATAAGTCTTGAACTATTATCATGTAAATGAGTGCAGTCACTAGGGGTATTCCTTTTAATCCCACGTGCAGGTACAATAGGTGGTGGTCCGGCAGTCGCATTTAAAGGGGACCACTGCGTTGAGGGCTCTTGATAAGGACCGACAACAGCAACAGGTTGATATCTCTAATTACAAAAGATTGTCAAAATAGTTTAGCAAAAGTTCGGCCAGTACCTGCGTTAGGGATGTTGTATGTATATTTTGACTTGTCATTACGTTTAATCCTTGACCATTAACCTCCTTGCAACATCATAACTGAGAACAAACGCACACAATCAGATTGGCGGAATGTCCAAAGTATGGGTTTTTAAACATCTCCAGACATTCTTGAGATGTCCAATTATAATAAGTGGCTGACTAATATCGGGGGAGCGCGAAGTGCTGGTTTAATTTGTTATAAACTGAACTATTTTGTTATAGCACTACATTATAAATCTTCCAATCATTTTCCGTCACTAAAGAACTTCTGCAGTCAAAATTATTAAATTTCTCAGGATGACCTAATAAGTATGTAAAGGCGTAAATAGTGCACGTATGTAGAGCACTTTTACATTGCACCTACTTTCTTTCTACTGTATTTGGTTCGAGTCCATCAAGCTCTTAATTTCCTTCGTCATGCACTTAAATACATTAATATTTTTCTTAGAAAAGATGTTACAATTATTAAGAATACCTTGACACTACCATTTTCTAAACAATTTCGCTGATAAAACAGAAAACTGTAAGGTCATTTCATTAACAGACACGAGATAAGTATAGGCTGGTCGCGCCATTCTTTTCTTCTATACGGTTCGCGTCCTGTTGTATAAATAATTGAATACAGGGTGGTCTATTAAAACGATTGACTTTGCACCGAGAGTTGCACAGCGTTATCAAGCTTTTGTTAAAGAGCACGAGGGCTCCTGGAGAAGTTTTTATTAATAGTAATGGGGAAATCGGCGCGAACGCATAAGCACAGATCGGCTTTGAGGCTTGTGGTAACATTATACGGGTGCGAGCTCGGGACAGTCAAAAGAATCGAAGTTACAGGTATGGGAAAGTAAAGAGAATGGCAAAGCGAAGAACGAACAAAGAACTAAAGCGCAATTACACAAGGAACCAACAAATGGCTCAGTACGTTACGTACATACGACAACAAAAAAAGGTCCCAATATGGTGAAGATGTAGAGCGAGAAGCGGGTGGAAAAAAGCCGGAAAAAAATATTTTCTTATAGAATGTGGCCTCTAGAATCCATAATTTCAAACAGTTCCAAGATCGGACTACTAGATCAAAAGTTACACCCCTTTGAATTTTTTGTCGAAATTGGTTTTTTCCCCCATAACTTTTGATGGAGACGTCTAATCGAAAAAGTACGAATCGTTTTGGATTCTACGCACCCAAATTAATAAGAAAAAGTTTTTTCCCGAGAAATTTTGGTGCAGTCGATTTTTGGTAAAAAAGGAAGGTAATAACTGCCTTTTTTTGCCCAGAAAAAAATTGTCTCAGATCGACCCGGAAAAAAAATTTTCTTATAGAATCTGGCCTGTAGAATCCATAATTTCAAACAGTTCCAAGATCGGACTACTAGATCAAAAGTTACAGCCCTTTGAATTTTTTATCGAAATTGGTTTTTTGCCCATAAATATACCTATTATTCAAAGTTTTCGTTGACTAATTAAAGCAAAAGCAATAAAGGGGCCTGTCAGCAGTAAGAAATAAAATACCGTTCTAATCTAATCTTTTTCGCCTGTACAATAATAAATAGATAAATGACTACCAGCATCAGCAACCTGCAACCCAATTTCTATTTCTTACCCCCCCCCCCCTTCTAGTACGCACTGGGTGACTGTATGTGCCACGAACTTGTTTAATCCCCCCCCCCCCCCCAGAATACATTTCTACGTACGCCACTGGTTTTGCCCTAAACCATGAAACATCTCTCATAAACAATGGTATAAAGGTTGTCACACACTTGTCCGTTTCGTTCCGGCACGTCGACGACTGGCGACTATTCGTTCTAGACTTGTCAGTCGGCCTCCGTCACATTTGGCAGTGCGATTTCGTGTTTGGTTTATTCCTGGCAGGAGGACAGAAGTTCTGAGGACTGTAGTGGCGTCCTATTGGAGGGCAAGCGAAACGTGTGGGTTCATCCAATTCATTCGAAGCGAGACAATCTTGGAGAATTTTATCATTTATTCGAAGACCTAAAGAAGGACGAACATAATTTTTTCCAATGTTTTAGGATGCCATTTGAAAAATTTCTATGTTGAACGTTTTTTAACCGCCCGTAACGTGTCGGAACGGAACTGACAAGTGTGCGGCAACCTTAATTATTAAACAGTTGTCGCGTGAAAGTTGCCACTACTGAGTTTGAAGCAGTGCCAGTTGGCAATTCCGATTTGTTTGCGCGGTAAAAAGTGGTATAACCTATAAATAAAAGAAAAGTTATTAGGTGTGTTGTGCAAAGCAAATTTGAAAAGTAAGAACTTTGGTTTATACCAAACTTCGATTAATGCTTTTTAGCGCATTTTTGATAAAAAATACACTGTCATATAATAATAATAATAATAATAATCTTTATTCCAACCTAGATACAAAACTGCAAACTCAACAAAAAATTAAAAATTATATAAAGTATAAATTAAGGCAGTGCGAAAATAAACGAAAACTTAGCTTAAAGATAAGTACTAGGGGAACCAGTAAGAGTAATGAGAATAAATACAATACTCGACAAAAACTGCTGCGTCTACCTAAAGTCACTAAATCGTTTTTTCAAAAAACATTCTTGTTCCTCGGTCCAAAATTTTGTAATTATTTTTTTAACCATTACTCTCAACGTATATTTGAACTATCGGTACGGGTGTTCAAGAAAAGAGCTAAGGAATTTTTATTTACTAAAACGACTACTGAGTTGGAAAACATGTATCTTATTTACAGTTTTACAGTTTGATTAATTTTGCTTGGTTTATGTTATACATCTTCATTTCCACCAATGCTTCACTAGCGATACGTTGCGTACATTTTATTTAGCTGAAAATATGTTCATTAAATTTAAATAGTTATATTTGTTGATCTCTATTTAGATTTCTGTACGTGTGTATGGCGTTTGTAGCATGATCTTGGATTTGCTTTTCCTCCCAGTGTTTCGTTATGTGTGGCTGGCTGGCTGCACGGCTGAGATCTCAATAATTACGTACAATAGTTAGAGACTTCAAATTTTCACTAAAAGCTTTCTGCTATAGTGTAGATGTGCAGGCTCTAGTCTATTTTGAGTTAGATAATTTTAAAGTTTGCTAATAAAATACTGATCGGTATTACCAAAAATGCGCTTTCATCATGCATATGCTGATTTACAACTTGTTTTATAGAATGGACCAACAACCGACGTGTTCCAAATACACACACTTCAATGAGGAAGATGAAAAGGTGGAAGAAACAAAGCCACTGTCTCGCTACACTATGTATATTTTGCCAAAGCATAGTGTACACAATGTATATGTATCGTATGCTGGAAATGGCCCACATGAAATCTGGATTCAGCTAGACTCTGCTAAGCAAATATTGTCGGTGTTGGGGGAGAAACTTAGCAAGATCCCTTTACAAACGTTAAAATATAAACCAAAGATTGGAACAGCATGTATAGTCAAGCGCTACAAAAGTACTTTGAGGTCTAGAGGAATGGTTGTTGATATTCGGGCCAATTGTACTTATATGGTATTATTCGTTGATTATGGTAATACTGCCTACTTTTCTTGGGACGAAATGTATACAATACCAAGTAGATTTATACAACCTAAAGTAATGGCAATGCGATACACGTTAGCCGAGTCACAAACATTACAGCTGACGTCTGAATCCTTGCATGCGTTCAGGAAATTTTGTAACAATAAATTGTTGAAGATGTTGGTCGTAGAAGAAGGTACACTTGAGAGTTTACCTTTATGTAAACTTCGCTTTGGCAATGTGACTGCCATAGACATTTTAAAAAGCAACCTTATGCTCAGGTATCTTCCACGTGCAGCACCAGATGTTGCCACTGATGTAACAATAAGCCATGTAAATAACTGTGGCGATTTTTATATTCAAGAAAAATCTAGCATAAGTGAATTGCGTAAAATAAATGCGATAGTGCAACAAAACTGCCGTACTGCTCCAACGATTCATGGTTCACAATTATCGGAGGGTTTGCCATGTTGCGCAGTGTCTCCGGTGGACAATAAGTGGTATCGCACAAAAGTTTTGTCAAATATCAACGATGTTGTGAAAGTTTCTTACATAGATTATGGTGACAAGCATACAGTAAAACTTACTGACTTGAGAATGCCGCGCACAAATCGACTAACGACCACATGCCCGTTTGCCTTAAAATGCTCATTGTCTGGCTATGACGATAGAAAAGATAGTCCCGCTAATGGCGCATTATATAAACTAATTGCCGCGAGGGAATTTAAAATGAGAGTTGTCGCCTATAAAAATGCAGTACCTCAAGTCGAGCTTTTAGATGAAGAGGGTCATAGTGTAACAGAGGAACTGGAGAAGGAATTACATTCACTTTCTTTAGGATCTGTACCAGAAGAAGATCAGACAGAGGAATAATTTTGTCTGTAAGTTAACTACCTATTTTACGAAGGTGCAAGTATTTAGTTTAAGCGATACCAACACCAACAATTGGGCAAAAAATTGTCTTGAGTACTTCCATTTATATTTGTTTGCTTCAAGGCCACTCCTTCAATGAATGAAGGATCTATTATGCAGTTTCTATTTTATTCATAAGGAGAGCTTGACCAGGCAGCACTTGGGCGCACCAAAGGTCCACTGTGTCTACCCCCTTTCTTTCACAACTAGGTTCAGAGCGCGTTCTTCTCAATAAAGGATGCAACTCTGTTTAGTCTAAATTGTCATTAGATAAGACTCAATTGCTCTATTGTCATAAATGCAAGTCCTAGGCTTCAGTTGGCTGTTCCTCTTATAATAAAGATAGTCCTCCATCTGTCCCAGACCTGTTACGCAACCCAATGTTCTTGGACATCAGCATTTACTTAACGCTGGATTTTGTGGCGAGATCCCCTGAAGTCGCGAGTTTGCGCAGATTCCCTCTTGACACCTTAAGCTTGGCTACTGTGTTGTTCTCTCGATATAAAGTTAATCAGCCACTTCGTCCTTCCCTAAATTTTTCTTTCCGTTTAATTTGTGGGAGACATAGACTAATATACCCCTCTACAAAACAATACATCTACTTTTTTATTAACAAGTTATTTGCAATAGTCCTGTACCTTACGAGGGATGGTTTTCTCTAACGTGCACTGGCTTCTGACTTATGCAGCAATATTATGTCCAAATGTATATTTTACATACTAAGTCCTGGTTTGAGTTTTATCCACACACCTCAATTCAAGGCTGGAAACATACTGTTATATGAAACATTTGCTTTTATACTTTTATTGAACTTATTCCTCCTTTTTTTCAGTGCTTCCACGTGAACAAAATCCAGAAGCCTACAAAAACGAACCCTTAACAATGACACGAATTGTCATTTTGAGTTTATTATGTTTTGATTAAACTTCGAAGAAATTTGCCATGGTTGCAAAAATCTTGGACTTCTATTCTTTAAGTGTTTTAAACAGTTTGTTATCTTTTCTTATGGTTTTTGCGTGCCAAAGCAAAAATGGTACGCAACATTTTTGTCAACGTGCTTCAAGTCATGGTTTGTATCTGGCGTGTTTGCGTTCTAATAACTAAATTATATTTTTCAACTGCAGGTTAGACGTCATCGATATCAGCGTAGTAGGACTTGGATTAGATTTCCAAACTTGAAATGGGAAAGATGTCGCTTTGGTACAGGTGTGAGCCATAACTGTGACTTTGGAGTGGGTTAGAAGCGTCAGTGCTGTTTTTAGTTATTTATCTATCAAAGTTCCTTAAATTTTTTTATATATTAATATTAAATATTGTTGATGTTTATATTTAGGTTTAGTTACGTTGGTCAATGTTTTTTGCTATTAATATGATTTGTAATCGTTACTCCAATTCGTTAACAATATTGGAATTTCTCCACCTTTATAATACATTCATCTGATTAAATATTCCGTTCCATATAGATTTCTTTAGGAAGGTGTAGAACAGTGTTGTATTTAATAATAACTGTGATACCATAGTTGGCAGTTACTATGCTTAGGTCACACAGTCTAAAGTCGACCACCCCTGGTACTGCTAGAGAATATTGCACAAAATCCCAAACATTGATCTACTTTATGCAGGCTGTAACAACTGCTTTACTCAGTGTTTTTTTGGGTATGCTGCTGCGCTTAGAAGAATGCTTATAGACGAGGAGTACGTGTAATTAACAACTTTAGTGACGGAACTACATGATGGATTTCGTTTTTGAAATGGATGGCGCATTGTATGCGCCCCTTTGCACTTCCAAATGTATACAGTGTGACGTGTGTCCGAATTAAGTTAAATCAAATTGGAAACAGTTCAGTTCAATTAGCGGAGAAGAATGCAACTGAACTCTGTATATGTAACGTTTATAGTGGCACAGTCCAGTTGCATTTCGTCTGTGATAGCGGTTCTCGAGCCACATACTATTTACGTTTAGTGGCGTTCTCTGGGCAAGGTGAAAGCAACCAACACTAATTTTCTAATAACAAAAATAAAACAATTCCTATTTGGTGCACATGTGTGAGACAGACAGAGATAACAACATAGTAATGTTAACTCAAAACATTCTACAGCTATTTAGGATTGATATATTCTAAATTACATTTAAAATTTAAAATAAAGTGAATTTAGTGAAAGTGAATTTCGCGAGAAGGAATTATATCGTGTAGTAAATTATTGCGGTAAGTTGAATATTTTTCAAATATTTGGACATGTAACAAAATTTTTACGCCTCCCCCCCCAAGGAGACATCTGTTTCACCTCATTTCTGAGATTTGCAATGCGTTTTTCGAAAATGCGTTTGGAATATGTGCGTAAAAAACAGGTGTCTATATTATTCAAGTTTAAAAATAAACCTTTAATTCATTTAACTCCTAATTCTTTAACGGCACTGTAATTTTTCTTAGTGCAATCTCAGTGGCGTAACTGATATGTACACAGTGTTACAAAACGGAATTATTGAACTGTCATTGCTTTGAATTAAATCTAAATAGTTGGGCAGTCGTACATACGCGAATAGAGCGGCGAATCTTGGATTTTTAAATAACCTCATCCCAACAATCTATGAAAAATTTAAATTACCTAATGTCGCAATTTTGTCATATTTAAATTTGTCAATTGCCCAACCGCATACGGCGGCCTTCTGTAAATTATGTTTATGGGCCAAAGTAAATGGTGAATAATTTACGGATTTTGAGAAGTTTTGGAACTAGTGCGTTATTAAAGTACACAATTCCACAAGTGTGACCAACCGAGCTTTCCGAATTCCGATTTATTCGCCGGTATTTCATGGTATCACTCCATTTCGGCGGTCAATTTTTTTGGAACAACTTGTTGGCAAACAGTTGAAACGCATTATTTTGGTAGGCCTTTTTGGCGATCGCGTACGTACCTACTAATTTCGCTGCGAAAACGTCCAAATACACTATTGCAATGCATTTTAAGGCCACGACTAACGTCTGTCAAAATCTTGTTTATGTTCAATTTCGTCGGGAAAACATCAAAACGCAGTATTCCTTGTTGCATTCTTTGTGGCCAGGTGTATTTTTTGTCCATAGGCATCTATGTATTTTGAAGATACCAGAATGGAATAGATTCAGCATATTTCTTCAAGAATTTATGATGGATTAACAAAATATGTGTTGTTTATTTATTCTTGAAACATCCTTTATAGATCAGAGGTTCTAGAAGTTTTTGTTTAGATACTCTTCGCAGATTGATACTTTTGAGGCTCTTAGAAGACCATTCTATTAGACCTTCGGCAGCTTTGTACGGAATTTCCGCAGGAATCCATTCTTAGATCTCCCAGAGAATTTTCCAATACTCTTCAAATCTTGATCAATAACATTTTCCACCACCCAATCTTTTTTTACTTATATGTAACACCTTGTACAGAGTATGTTCGGGGTTTGTGGTCATGGTTTGAGCTCAGACGCCGCCTTTGGCTAAGACAAAACCTGTCTCATTAGATAATACGAGATAATACAAGACCCATCACATAACAGTATGTATTCAAATATTCAGGAGGAATGAAAAAAATCACATGTGGGATCTATGCATAATAAGATGGCGTTATAAAATGTAAATGTATGTCAAATAAAAATAATTCACAAAGTGCTACAAGCTACCCTATAGGATACCGGGTGGCGACGTAGCATAGGATTTATAATGCTAAATCATGTATAATGGTCGTTCTCTCCTCTAATTATTTTTTTGGAGAAAAATATTACAATTTCCAATTTTTTTAATTCTGGAATGAATTGGAAAAGCGGGAAAAAACGCTTTTTTGAAACTCGAAATTGTTTCGTAACAATCCAAGTTGAAACAGTAATACTTGTTGAAGTAAACATGTTTGCGCGATGCACTAGAACTAGAAGTAAGTTCAAATTGAATCTTCCGCGGATTTCCCACCAGCGTTTTATACCCCTAATGCGTCGGTGGGTGGTTGATAACGCCACTAGGTATCGATAAGTGCGCGCCGAAGTTGCGCCCTTGTAATTCGCTCTCATAGTCGATAAGCAATGTTGTATTAAATCTCCTGTCTTGTAAACTTGTTAGTTTTCCTATTATTGCTCTTCCTGTGCGAGTAGTGTCGCGCTTCTCCTGAAGGCAGAATCCCGCTGCAACCCTAATCAAAGGTAGGAAATTACTATTTTGATTACTAATTGACACGATCGTCTTTACAATTTCGCAACCAATTTCTTAGCACGATTTTGCTCTTCCGTATTTTGGCAGATGTTCGGATTATTCCGAGGCAGCAATTACTGGTCACGTAAATAAGGGTAGGAAGTGTGTCAAGGTGGTAAAAATTGGGTCAGGGGTGCTGTCTCTCCAGCTGGGTGTTAAACAAATTTCCATCAACTTAAGAAACTTTTGCTCTCTGTATTATAATTGGTGATGATCTTATGTGACCAGTTCTGGTAATAAAAGATGTCCATATCATTAATAACAGCTTCAGCTGTGGTTAATAAACGGCAATTAAATTTGTTTAACTACTGGAGAAGACGTTGGATTTAATCAATTGCAGATGAATCCGAGGAAAACTTCCTAACGTGATTTTTAATTAAAACTAGTGGCCAGTCTCGTTATATAAGATTGTCATTATGATTTTATTCCCTGTTATTTATTTCTCAGTTATGCCAACTGCAGGATTTAGCTGTAAAATCGTTACAGGATGCACACGATAGCAGTACAGATTAAGACTATTTTTGAACGGGATAACAAAACGCTCACGTTTCAAATTAAAATAAACACTAAGGGATGCTCTAATTTACTCTACTGGTACATGTTCGTATTGTCTGATAATAAAGAAGACAATAATCATTAGTACCCGCGTATTTCTGAGGGATTTTCATTGTCTATAAGTTATGTATGTCACAAACATAAAAGTACATTCCGCCCGTACATTTCCATCTCGAGGATCATAAGCTCAAAGATATCTAATTTGATTTCTTGTCGGTTTAGAACGAGCGGCTGTACTTCATTAGTGCTTCATCAAAATGTCAAAAGATGTATAAACCTCATTTGTTATTAATGACACACGGTACCCCTAGGGGTTAACCACTAGCAAAAACGGACACGTATTTCCAGAATTCAGCAAACCGCATCAAGGCATTTTTCGGCGGAACTCAGTTGCAATTTCCGATGGATTTCTTTGATTTCGCGGAAATCGCTTCCGAATGTCTGGATTTTTGCGATTTTGTTGTTGTAGTACTTACTTCAAACATCTTTATCTAATCTAAAGAAAAACTTAGGACTATTTACTTTTTTCATTACGTTAGCAATAAAAACCGTTTTCCTAAGGAAAGTCTCCAGTGCTGTTTTTATGGAGATTATTTTCATACAATTTTAAGATCGCTGTATTGTGATTTAAATTTTAAAAAAAGTGCCAAATTCTTGACAGCAGCTTCCTAGCTCAAACTAAAAAAACGCGCTTTTAGAAGGCTTCTTGGCAAGTGGAGAGAAAAACGTTCCCCACGAAAGTTTATTATTTTCCGATGTAGAATAACAATATTCAATAAAAGGTCTGCATTTAATGGGCCTCTCCATGTGAAGAAGATTTTAAATAAATTATTTTTTATATCCCCGCAATAAAGGACTCTCGAGATAAATAGGACATAATTAAGTAACATTGAAATGTAAGATTACGGAACTCGCAGTTCACAAAAGAAACGATCGCTACACCCTCGGCTACACCCCAAATTCGTCTCGCTTATGCAGGTGCAGTTAAACTCCAATAAATCATCGCATTTTTGCGATTTTTTATTACTAATAATTCATTTATTGTTTACAGTCTTACAATTGTGTGACATCACGGCACTAAAAACTCATATATTAAAAAAAGTTTTTGACATTTTTTCATCCTTTATGCCTAATGGGCATTGCCAAAATTTGAACGAAATCAAAATAATCGCTTTGCCGAAAAAAATGTTTTAGTTTTTTAACTTTGGAAAGCGCTATTATGGTCACTTTCTCCGTCCGTCCGAGGCCTTAACTACTCCTACAGGTTTCAAAATATTTAGTTCATTGTTTTTACTCTTGGTAGCTAATTGCATTGTGCAGTCTGCGCATGCTCACACCTAATGTTTTTTTAATTTAGCTTTGCAAACATGTACATTCCCTGAAGCTTGGAAATGCACCAGAATAACACCAATTCACAAAAGTGGAAGCCGAAAATTAGTTGAGAATTATCGCCCAATTGCAATTATACCAGCAATAGCGAAAATTTTCGAAAGAGTGATCTATACTAGACTTTATTCCCATCTCAGCAGTATAATTGCAGATCAGCAGCACGGTTTCACGCGGAACAGATCAACGATTACAAATTTAATGCAGTTTACGCATTTCTCAGCAGGAGCCTTGGATGAGAGAGCCCAGGTTGACTGTGTTTATACAGATTTTGCGAAGGCATTTGATACAGTATCCCATCAAGTCTTGCTCCGTAAACTTGTTTTAAATTGCGTAAGTAATCCGACCGTCAAATTCTTAAAATCATATTTATCTCTCCGTAAAACAAGAGTGAAATACAATGGTGTGAATTCAGCCGAATTTTATCCCTCATCAGGCGTTCCCCAGGGAACACTTCTTGGTCCTTTTCTGTTTCTCTTATACATAAATGATTTACCCCGAGTGATAAAAAACTCGAAAGCACTACTATTTGCGGACGACCTAAAACTTTTTAATAAAGTCCAATCCGCAAGTGACTGTTTAAATATTCAAGAGGACATTAACTCAGTAATTAAGTGGTGTATCAAAAATAAACTAAAACTAAATATCAATAAGTGTAAAGTCCTTACTTTTACTAGATCGAAAAATCCCTTACTTTTTGACTATAAGATGAATGGAAAGGTCACCTCCGTTAAGGACCTGGGCGTGTTTTTCAATACCAACCTTAACTTCAACTTACACATTGAATACCTAACAAATGAGTGTTACAAACTTCTTGGTTTCGTTATCAGAAATAGACTCAATTTCACGAATATACAGACAATGCTAACCTTATATAATGCGTTTATTAGATCCAAGCTTGAGTATGCTGCTAGTATCTGGTCTCCTCAAACTCTCAAATACTCAGACATGATCGAAAAAGTGCAGAAAAAGTTCATCCGAGTAATGTTTTTTAGGTCAACCCAAAATTATCCACATTTGATATCTTACGGTACCCAGCTTAATTACTTAAATA